GACTTCTGGTTGGTTGGTTGGTTGGTTGGGCAAGCGTAGACATTACAACAGCTTTTCGTTCGGCTTCCGGGCCGTGGTATTTTTGAACTGCTTCTGGGAGCTGCAATCGCTCGATGTTTGCAAGGCTGCTCGGAGCCAGCTTTTTTGCACGGATACAGCGAGGGATAGGAATGAAGGGCTTCCTACTGTACAGTAGCTTCGAGCCTGGAGTCGTCGTCCTGAGCTTCCCTGTATGATAAACCACTGCGTGCTGCCTGAGGATCGGAAGAACTCTCAGCATGCCTCCTGTCTGACTGTATCCTGGGTCTTCACGAATCAGTATCAGCCCAGAATTGGCCCGCGTTTCTTCCGGTTCCTCTGACGGTTTTGACAGACATTTTCTGATTCAGGGTAGACTTCTTGGGATTCTGGTCGGGCTCCGTGTTGCCTTTGCATACATACACGTTCATTTCGCGGTGGTAGCTATTGGTAGCTATGTGGCGATAACATCGTTACATGTACACAAAGGTATATATACATAGGTTTTATTATACATATATTGTAGAAATTCCAATTTCCGCATGCGTTCATAGCCTCCTCCTCCTCCTCCCCCTCCTCCTCCTCACAGCATTGACTCATAATTATTACGACGACGACTGCTACTACTGAAGCGAAAGGTGCCGGAGGGATGCGCTTGTCCCAGCAAGTAAGGAAATCATGCCTGCGAGAGGGGCGGCTAGAGTCTACTGAGATTGAGTTCCATGGCGAGATTACACAACTTGCGTGTGAGATAGAGCAAGAGACAGGCAGAAGCGTGCGTCACATTGACAGGAGTTCACAAGAAGGACAGACATGCGAGTGACAGAAACGGTTTGGTGAACCCCTCTCCGCTCGCAAGCACAGTGCATTTCAGCTGCCACTGTGTTCGCGTAGATATGGAAAGCCCCGGGAATTTAATTCCATGCCACTGAGCTAGGTTCCAATAGGAAATTGGATCCCATTATTCGTTCCTGGCCGGCTTTAGGCAGTGGTATTCCAGAGTTGTTCAACAACATGCTGCTGAAACTGTCTCTTAGCAGTTGGACCAACGAATCCGTGGTCTAGCTAAGCGGGAGACATCAAACCAGAAGGAAGCATCATATCTGGCTACGGAACATGAGTGTTCACAGATGTTGGCCTCAGGTGAAACATATTCTGCAGCGCGGTCCTTGGGCCTGTGCTGCTGGGCCATGATTAAGACAAAACTGGCAACAGACGATAGCCATGATCGAACATGTTGGTAAGGGAGCTCGTCATTGCTGGACCAAACTCTGCAGTCAGCGTCAGGAGACCTGGTCTTGCTGCTTTTCAACATGTGGGCTCGACGAGTTGCCAATATTGTTCCTCAGGGCTCCGTATCATATGTATGTTAGAATAACCCCCCCTCAAAAAACATCAAAACCTATCAAGGGGATGTGTAAGCTATACCAACAACCCATATCCCCAGAACCCTACTCCAACATGCTCTAACTATTAAGCCTGTTTTATACTATACTGACCACCCCCCTCCTCAAATAAAACAAAAAACAACAACCTGCTCTGAAATCAATGCCCCGATAGTATCCTCTGGAACTATGTTGGCTAAGGTGGTTTTCCCGATGGCCTCGACAGTGATGCACATTCCCAGACAGGCGCGGCCTCTCCCGCAAGAACATATTCGTCATTACGATAGACTTCTACATCAGATTATATTGTACAGTTTAAGTATCAGACTAGCGAAAGACAACGTGGTAAACTGCATCAGCATAGATAATATGTTAGATTGAACGAACTAGTATGTCATACGACGATGTTAGTATGTTATGTACTTAAAATACACTTCTTGTATATTGGTATATACCATAACATGACATTGTCACATACTGTCACATGGGAGCCAATTCGGGCAGCTTTCTTTGCTGGGCGAAGCTTGGGTTCATTAGCAACTATTGGTGCGATTGGGTAAGAGACTGCACTGCATGCAAAACCACCCGATCCTATCTGAGTCGTACAGAAGCTGGGTGACATCACCTGACATGTCATGTCAACATTCTGCCTGCTAGGCAGCTTGTTGTTTAAAGGTGCGTAGCATGTTCTGACTTGACTCCAGGGGCAACGATAAGCCCTTTTGGCGTGAACAAATGTCCAAATATCTCGCAATTGTTTTTGTTAAAACATACTTGCGCATCCTCGAACTAGCCTGTTCATATGCAGTCTTCAAACTGACGTGTTTGGTAGGTTCAGGGACAGACCGCTTTGAGTGGCCATGTCATCGGCCCATCCAGCATGGATCAGGGTGATCGAACAGGCTAAATTTTTTTTTGAGGTTTTGCAAACGATGAACACCACCTCTGCGCTTCTTCTTCCAAGCACTCTGCGAGTGCACCAAAAAATCAGACACGTGCGACACGTATTTTTCTGGCCCGTTCAATCCCTACATGTTAACCTATCCCTGTCATGACCGCGCCTCTCATGTGACGCCAGACCCTACCCAGCAAAATTGCATTGCTTTCGATGGCGTCAAGTCGACATTCCAGACTAAACTTTATGGATTGGCTGTATCGGGCTGCCGACACTTCTGTATTGCTTGAACAAGGGATTTGATTGTTGGGTATGTGTTGGGTCGTGGTTATGTCATTTCGATCTTATATGTCGGCCCCTGTAGATGCTTCACTGACTACAGGCTATGCTAGTTGTCAGTGTCGTTATTGGTCGCATGGTTGTGGAGGCTCAGATAGCATGCAGCGTTCCACGGAGGTAGTGCTGTAGGATATTCCAGTCATGAAAGTCACTGGCGTAGACCGACATGGTTGGGGTTCACGGCCAATAAGTACCGGTACTGGGATCGACCATCGGCACCTTTGTCGTTCACACAGACGTATTGAAGCCTCGCAGCTGTGTCCTGTCATGTTAGTCTGCATCTAGCCTAAAAGCCCCTTAACCGCCTAAACCCAACAGCTGCCTGGATTGTCCGAGTGCGAGTGTGACCACGCTTGAACCCGAAATCCGAAAACCCAACAACGCCTGTATGAGCCTTGTGCCTACAACGCCTAAACTCCCCATGCTCTATCAACCCGAAAGCCTGAAGCATCCTAGCACCTATATAGACCATCCTAAACGCCAACCCACCGCAAGCCCTAACAAAGCATAATTTCGCCAGGAGCACCACCAGAGGTCCTTACGTTTGTTTGACTACGGCGGAACTGGCTCAGAAGTTGCCCCGTGCTACTGAGCGGCACGGATAGTCTGGTGCTTGAACGGCTTTAGGCGGGTTAATTAATAATATCTGTATATAATGTATGTATATCATATTGTTTGCAGTACATACATACATACATACATACATAGAACTTGGGTGAACAACGACTGAAAACAACTACCGGGAAATTGCCACAGGTGAAAGCAAAGGCAACTTCAAACATTTACATATGACTCTAATGTTCCACCAGAGCCAACTCTATGCTAAGATGAATGGCTTATTTACGTCGTGAAAGCTCAGACGACTCATCAAGAACTTCAGTCGTGTTTTCGGACATCGAAATGCCTTGCCTGCGATTCATTGAAGTTGTTGATGTTGTTGTAGGTCTTTGGAGTTGCGAGTTTTGCGCGTAAAGCGTAAGCCCTCAACCCTCAAGGGTTTTGCTCAGACGGGCTGCGAAATCTCGGGGCTGAGGGTGAGTTGCAAGTAGAATCGGAATGCCACGCGCTGCTTGCTAGACCTGCAAGACCGGCACCCTAAACCCTAAACCGTCCAAAACCTCGCAACCTTAGGCCCTACAACCCTTAGCATGCTAGCATGATTCACTTTGAGGTATAGCCGTATATCCACAGTCGTACTCATAAAGTTTCTGTGAATATGTTAAGCACCATAGTCACTGGAAGTAAGAGACAGAGACATAGTCCTCACGATTGAGAGGTGTCCGAACTTCGCTCCGTCAGTTTTCAAACCAACTCGCCCATCTCACCATCATGTTTCGAGGTTTTTGGTACTAGCTTCGACCTGAAAGAAAGGAGTCGAGCTTACGGACGCTTCGGGAGGATCCATGTCCTAATTCGAGCCAGAAGGAACCCTAACCGCCTACCATTGGCTGTCCGCAGCTATTTGGCTTTGACAGACCATTTGTCGACCCCAAATCCCGTCTCTTGGCGGCACTTCGGAAACACTCCGGGTTTGGGAAATCTTAGCAGTTCCGGACCCATGTGGTTGCTGACACCTTTCGCGTGTCTGACGGCGGCTCGTATAGATTGCAAAGACAGGCCGCTCAAATCAGCTGGGCAGCAAGCATCGGCAATCTGATGTGCAATGCTTATACCCCAGTTCCTGTCTTTCATAAGCCGTCTGACTTTGCGCTATTGTTGATGTAAAACTGCCTTCATGGCGATTGTTCCACAGCAGGCGAAAAGCCATAATGCCTCAGACCCCTAATGTGGTTGGGCCCAACTCCCCCACCCCTCTTCCACACCCGGCCATCCGGAGTGTGACGCTGAGCTCAGGTTACATAAGTGCAGCTAAGCACTGGGACTGCGAATCTCTGCCGGCCTGGGTCTTAGAAGCCAAAAAGGGTTCCATCAGCCTGTCGTCTTTCGGCCCTTCTATACTTGGGGGTTCATGGGACTTAAAATTACAATTATAAGTACCCTAGCTGGGGTTATATCCAATTATAAGTATAGTTACCTTATTTATAACCATATATACTAAGTCCCATGAACCTTTAAGTAGGCAGTTTCTGAAGGGGTTTCACCAGGCTCTCGGTCTGTGGCGCAGCTTGTAGCTCCCGGCTTCAAAGGTGCGAGGTTTTCGCATGTCGGAGTGTCTGACTTTGTAGCTACGCCTCTGTCTTGAAGAACGTCAGAGTTCGGAGTGCAACAACGAAACAGCAGACGGAGAGCCAGATTGGTGAAAATGATATGGATCCAGCGCAGTGGTCTTGCTTCAGAGCAGAGGCACTTAAGTGCCTGGCTTCTCAGGTCTCTTGTGCTCTTCGTTTCCATCGATACCGGACATGTTTGCGAATCCATTCAAGCTTTCCTCGTCTGCTCTGGAGTTCACACCCCAGGTGCGCTTCAGGGACCTACTTTGGGGCTCTGACTCGGCGGTTTAAAATGAAGACCTTATAGTGGGAACCCCACTCGAACTATCGACGGCCAGGTACTGCCGCGATACAAAGTTCGGGGCATTTCCGGGCCTGAGAGGTTAAGAGGAAGAATTTCGAAGCCAAGGGCCAGTCGGGGCCTTCCGTTGGACATGCGCCTTCGATTCCGTCGTCCCATGAAAGCTTCGGGTTGCCAGATTCCCATCAGTAGGGCTGAGGGCAGCTGTCAACCGTGAGCTTTTTGAGGGCATCCCATAGGCGTTTGGAGCCCCAATTCGCAAGATCCATTGGTGCTTCAGGGCGCTGCGAGTACACAGTTCAAGCAGCAGCAGTACTACCAGGCCGCAGCAAGGGGGTCGGAACTGCAGCATTACTGATACTTGAGGTGTAAGAATTTGTGTGCGTCTTTTGCTTGATGAGTGTTTAGTGTGCGTACTGGCCGATGTGTTTCGTCTCGGTTCAACGGATGCTTGCGTGCAGGGGAACGCTGTCTCAGTGACTTGTTCAGCAAACTTGCGGCTTCTCCTTTACTAGCCCGGCGAGGTGGGTACCGTCTGGGGCTCTTAAAGATTTGTAGAGTGTCAAGCTACTGAATTAACAGCGTGACCACAGTTTAGACAAATTTCTATGAGTTGCCCTGCTGCAGGGCTACCAGCCGTACCCTGGAGTGCAGCAAAGTGGCGTGAATGCCTATTACACCGGAGGCCCTGGGCTAAGCCAGCTTTTCGTTAAAACAGGGTGGAACCGTCTGCTTGCCGTGGGGTTGCGGGTGGCAGGCAAGACAGGCCCGTGCTGTTCCACACTAGTTCATGTTTTCTTTTGGGAGGCTTCAGTCGGAATCAGCTGCTCAGCCAAGGTTACCCTTGCGGCTATTATGGCGATTCCATGCAGAGCATTCCTGCCACGCACAGCTTTGCCTCAACAGCTGCCCTCTCCACGCCTGGAGCTATCAACCTGGACGAGTTCTCTGCGCCCACCTAAGTCGTTTCATGCTGGTCTGAAACCGTGTGAATCGAGGAGCCACGTCTTGCTTGTTTGCGTGTGCAGCTGCGCGACGGTCCGGCAAGCCGGGCGGGCGTTGCGTCTTCAAGACATTCATTCATTGTCAAGTACGGATATCTAAGTAACGGTATGTATTCGACCGTTGGCACATCTTCGTCCCGAACTGTACGTGGGTAGGTAGGTCGGTATGTAGGTAGGTACGCAGGTGGGTAATGCTGGGTAGGTAGGTAGGTAGGACTAGGTCGGTACCTACTATCTAGCTTGAAAGCTACCCACCTCCTTGACATACATGCGTACATACACACACATGCCACTCCATCCTATTCCATCCCATGTACGGACCAATGCACAACACATGGCAGTACATGCATGAATACTTACATCAATGCACACATACATACACGCTTGCCTGCAGACTTACCTGCCTATAGTGCCTCAATTCCATTCATCAGTCCATGCAAGCATGCATACATACGTACTTACTTACGTATATACACAAGGTGCTCAGCATATGTACCTTAACTGGTTATTTCAACGAGTTTTGGGTTCTCGGCGCTCACAGTTAGACTAAGTTCTGGCCAGAAAAGTAGAAACTAGAAGTGGCACAAGCTTTGGCTGCATCAATTGCCAGCGGTCTGGCTTCTGACAAAAGTAGATTTGTCGGCTGTCCGGAACCGTTCTGGCAAGAAATGAAAGTTACATGTTGTAGAACGTTTCGTCAGCTGCACGCTGCAAACTTGAGCAGCTCATGTCATCTCTGGTTCTGTCACCGAGAAAAATGCAAAATTCTGCAGCTGACTATACCAACAGCTTGGCGCAAGTTGCACAGGCTGTTGGTCTTGTCTTTGGAGTTGTGCACTGTGTGAGTTCGAGCTTGTGGCTTCTGAGCTTAGGATTTGTCAGACTCCGACTCAGACGACGAGGCCGCCCCCGTCACACAGGTGAAGGCAGGAAGAGTACCCACAGCTAACCAGCGTCATGAATGTTGTTCCACAGGACTCGTATCAATCATTCAGCACTTGTACTTCGCGGTTCATGGGACTTAGTAAGTACAGTTATAAGTACCCTAACTGGGGTTCTATCCAATTATAAGTATAGTTACTTCTTTTAAAACCATACTAAGGCCCCGGAACCTTTAAGTACTGTACTTCAAGCATGGACAGCCGTTGTGACCTTGGAGCTTCCTGAGTTTGTCAGGCCCCTGCAGAAACAGCGAAGCTGACAGCCCCGGGTATTGACGTCACGCCTGAGGTTGCTGAGCTGCAAGTCTAACAGCCAGACCTTCAAGCCAAATTAGCGCTCTCATGTGTTGACACCGACATCTTTCATCCTTAGTCGGGTCCTTGTGAATAGGAGGCAGCGAGAAGGAATCGGAAGCCAACGGTGCCCGCCCGAATTCGTGCGGTTATGATGTTAGGCCAGGGCACCGAGGGGATTTTGGCCTGCAGGTTGTAAGAAACCGAAAACCTTCATACAGAACCGATCCAACAAGGTGAAAGCCCTAGAGCTGCTTAGACGATGAGGGTTTCTTGATCAGAAGAGCGGCTGAAGAGGTAGATCCAGAGATAGATGTCGGGCCCCTCGATGCGGGGGTCTCCAAATCAGGGCCCCTTTCGAATCCCACAAAATGAGCATGCCACTCTTTCATAAGGCCTCCAAGTGGGACCCTGATTTGGCACCCGATACTCTAGACGCAGTTGTTGGAAACATAATTTCTCCCGTAGGCTACGTAGGTCGAAGTACCTGAAGGCTTTCGGCTTTACGACAAATTCAAGTGTTGCTCTGCAAAAGGTTAGCAGCTCAATTCGTCACCGAACCACGAGCATGGATTAAGCACTATAACCCGATGAAGTAGATTTTCGGTATCACTGAGCTTACCTTTGGTTAGTAGTGAATGGAAGAATGGTAGTAATAGTAGTTGTAGTTGTACCCCATTCCTCCATTCCCTACTAATTACTAACCAAAGGTAAGTGAGGGCAAGGAGCCGGCGGAGGAGCCATGCCCATGTGCCTTGTTCAGCTTCGGCGTGGCTGCTTGAAATGCTTCGGGGGATGTACTCTAGGGGCCTTAATAGTTACCTAGATTATTGGGGGTTCCTTTTGTATATCTATATAATATAAAGGGCCCCACAACCCTGTTCTAATTATTGAGGCCCCTGTATTAGAGCTTCGGGACTCGAGCTTGGGCCATGGCATGGAGCCCCGTTTTTTGCTGTTGCACTAGTGTTGCAGTGACTCCTCAACCCGGCCTTCAAGTGGGGGGAGAGCCTTCTAGAAGAGCCAGGTCTTCCAGTCAAGTTTTAAGGGCTCGAAGTTCGGGGTCTCCCCCTCCTGAGGGTTGACCAGCACCTGGCGGACCGGCAGTTGTTGCATCGAAGACTCCAGATCTTCACCACCACCTCCAAGTTGAAACCCAAAGCCGCAGACTTTCCGTGGTAGTCGAAGTAGCAGGAGTAGTAGTGGTAGTGGTAGTGGTAGTGGTAGTGGTAGTGGTAGTGGTAGTGGTAGTGGTAGTAGTAGTAGTAGTAGTAGTAGTAGTAGTAGTAGTAGTAGTAGTAGTAGTAGTAGTAGTAGTAGTAGTAGTAGTAGTAGTAGTAGTAGTATCAGCTGGCAAGGGAGCTGTCAATCCTAAACCACCACTTCTGCAGTGGCCGACGCTCATGGCACCTTCCCAAGGTGCCCTTGACGTGCAGTCTCTGAAGAATGATACCGAGGCAGCCGCTGCTGTACGGTGCACTTAAGATTTACTGTTTAGGAAGGGTTTAGGGTTTTTAACCCCGAAACCCGGCACATCGCATGCCTCTGACTTGTCGGGTTGCAGCTTCTACATCGGTCGCTATCAAGATATGATGCTTTTGGGTTCCTCCTTATAACTATGCAAAGCAGCAGTCGAGCGCGAGTGCGGAAAAACTACGCAAATCATTCAGGCCGCAACATTGCGACTCTGTGAGTTCGATTTATGTTGAGATGAACAGCAATCCTCGTCGGCCAGAAGCTAACTCGCTGCGGAAGGCCTCTCAGAGCAACAACGAAACCTGAGAATTCCGGCTTTGCGGATGCACGATACCTGGAGTAAAGAATTGTGCTCTTGTCTATGCCTGTGTGACTGCTCATGCAGAGGCAGCTAGACACGGCACTGCCACTGCTACAGAGTTTCATCTGGGGGCCGTCTGCTCAAGGATGCGACTTCTTCCGAGCTGCAAGACGCAAGCAGCTTGTCGGCACGGCAAAGCTGGACTTTGCGTGGGCAGAAATCGGAGCAGCAGCACGGATCCGGGGGTAAGAGTAAGATGGCAGTCTGAAGGACGAGAATTAGTTCTTCCGATATAGGTTTACACTGTGTGACTGTGTGCAATTTACTCGACAACGCGATTCTCTGTTTTTGCAGGTGCCTAGACCAAAACCCTACACAAATCTCATCAAAACAAGCATTTTCGAACCCTTACCACCCCAATTTTGCATTAAGGCCCCTTGTATTTCAGGTTTGGGGTAGCGGGAGTTTTGGGGTTTCGGGTATAGGAACCAGTAATTAATCAGGGTATGAGCTTACAGGGTTTGTCAGCCTCACAGGATGCTTCTCAAGAACTTGGGACCTGCGTCTTTTAAAGGGCCTTCATAATTAGAATCGGGTTTGGAGGAGTATTGTACCGTAGTTCTAACCGGAAGCTATAGGAACGGTATTATTGAAGACTCCAGCTTCTATACTCAGCCTCGTTGCTGCATTTCTGGAACTCCTTGTTCCTTACCTTGTTGGTTCCTATTTTTGCTTGCCAAGACCAGGATCCAAACCATGTCTGGCTAGTAGTGTTTGAGTCTGCTTATGTCTGCTGCTTCTCCTTAGTAAAGTTGGCAAAATGCCCGCCAAGTGGGGAGCGCAGGTGCACGGTCATGAAACTCCGACTGATTGTGCCGCCAAAACCACATGGACTTATTTGTATCCGCATTGCGCCAAGGTTCGCTTTCCTCTTATTCTGAGGAGGACTGCCGCTTTCGCAGATCTTCGTAGCAATTCGAACTACGTTCCCTTCCGCTGGTCAGTATAACTTATTGAAAAGTGTGTGTGTATATATATATATAACTCTATATATATATACACACACACACACACACATTTTTTCTCATTTACATATACGCATGTCGTGTGAATGTCTTGAGGAGGTGGACCACGAGGACCCGGCCGGGCCAGTCTCGCCAGAAGCGGTCTTCAGCCTGAGGCATGATGGGTCCTGGTTGGGGTTTTGGATTTAAAATTTGAGGGCTTTAAGGGCTTTAAGGGTTTAGGTTCACGATTTGGCCTATTGTTTTCGCAGCTGCAACTACATGGTCACAGGAGTGCTCACCGCTGTTCGATAGAACATGGCCGTCATACGGATGGAAAACTTGGCCCCTGCAGCGGTGGAGTACTGTAGTTGCCACTCAGTTTTTCCATCCATCACATATGCGACAGTCGTAAGCTGCTGAGGCAGATGTTGCAGTGGCGAGAGTGGGTGCTGGAGCACGAGCAGCCCACTATCTTGCGCTCCGGTTAAGTCGGGTTTGTTTGCTTAGTAACATGGACGTGTTCAACCCAGCCAGTCGGCTTGTCGGTGACAAAGCCGTGCCGACAAGCAGAGTGCCGTCAGTGTCGCATGGACTACGTGTTCCACGACTGTGAACGAAAAAAAGATGCTCTGAAAGTACACATGATGCAATGGGTTGACTTGCATGAAGAGACCTTAAAGCTACATGTTTTCTTAGTAAACCATTTATCTGTCAATCGATCTAGCTATCCATTATATAGCAGTAGTAACTATCCTGCATATATATATATATATATATAGATACATACATACATACATACATATGGCAAGTACATTTGTTATTTTGATTTATTTGTGCATTCTTGTGATCGGGGAGCCTGAGCCCCGGCACCGTGCCAAGCCTGTCGCTGGATATCTTCGTAAGTTGCGTAGGGAGAAAGCTATATTAAAATGCACGGCTTACGAAGACACTCGTGCCAAGGTACCGCACGCAGCCAGTCGAGTCCAGCCCACCTGAGGCCTCCTGGCGGATGCAGGTGCGCTGCCAAGTAACGAAGCCCGCGCGAGTTGCGCGCTCCGAAACCTTAAACCCATCGAGACCTTGCCAGGCTTGTCCGAGTGTGAGTGTCAAAAACACCCATCGAGGCTTAACTCGTAATGGTAATAGAGGGGCATTTATGGGCCTTTGTAACTAGAATAGGGTGTTGGGGGGATATTATAAGATAACTATGCTAAGGAGCCCCAGAAGAGACCTGAGCCGAGGCTTTTCGGATTTGCATGTTGGCTGAGGGGATTCGCAAAACGGTTTCCGAGGTTTCGGAGTATGCAGTGGATTCTCTCCGCGAGTATGGGAGTAAGCCCAGGAAGAGTTCCTCTCTTGTGGCCGATGGAGTGTTTGTGTGTTTATATAAATGTATATATACATATACACACATACACGAGTAGAAGACATCGCTGCGGACAGAAAGTGGTTGCCTCACGATTCCGATGTTTGATGATGGCTTTAGCAATTTCACACCGGAGCCCCTGAGACACGACTGTGAGTACTTATTGTATGAGTGCTTCTCGACCCTTCTTTGGGGCAGGAAAGGGCCGGCCCGATCTGCAGTCAGAGGACCTGGATTGCCTGATTTCATGTGGCTCTAGTGCAGCCCGAGACCTACCGTTGAGTCTTGACTGCCCAACTCCAGCTGAAAGAAGGGCGCTTATCATTTCTTGTGGCACGAGCTCCAAGCCTCGCCACTCTAAAGGGAACTCCAGAAAGTTGGAATATGGAATAATGGCAGGATCCCCTATAATTTACCTTAAAGGGATTATGATAATGATATTCCAACTTTCTGGCTTCTACTGTATTTCATCACTTCTTTGTCCAATGTCCGCTGGAAGACCACAGCGCCCGCAGGCATGGTACCATGGCTTCGGAAACGAACGGTATACGCAACTAGAGATCCCCAAAACTTCAACCCTAAGCCACACCCTGAACCCTCCATCCGAAACCTTGGACCCCAAACCGGCTGACTTCGAAACCTGGCCGCTTTCAGCTTAGAACCTCCTAAACCCTACTAGTAAGCCCTACACCCTGAGCCCTAGACCCTTAGCCCTCTCAAAGCCGAAAGCTGCGCAGGATGCAGTCCAAAGGCAAACTCCTGGTCTCCGACAACTCCTGGGCCGCCAAACAGAGGCCCATCGAAGCTGTGCTATACTATGCTATGCTATACTAAGCTACTATGCTATGCTATACTAAACTATTCTATACCCCAAAACGTTTGATCTCTTTGCGACCCTGGGGCTTTCGGGCTTTTGGGATTCGGGGCTGACTGGGGTGGATTGGACAGGTGATATGATGTAAGCATGTAAAACTGAATGCGCTGCTTTTTCGGGTCCGGTGGGGCTGTAGCTTGGGATAGCTTGGGGCTTGGTTTCTGCATGTGTGTGTGTGTGTTTGTGCCGGTACCTAGATATTTTCTCGTGCCCTGCTAGGTCCTGCTTTATGTTTGTAGACTTTAATCTGATTTGGAAAAGGTTGGTGTGAATGGAGCCCCATGACCACATAGCTGCCCTGCCGTAGCAAACGAAAGGCGGCTCCATGATTTTGGTGATAGCGTCGACTTGAATGCGCAGCTCCGTCCGCAAGCTGACTCTTGTGTTGTGAGTAGATGCACGCATGCACACACACAGACCAAGACACACATGTGGCATAGTGATATGGGCTGCTTACATTGTAGGGCTACTTGTTGTATGATAAGAATTAGACATACAAAGCCTGCTGTACTTGTCTGGGCTCCGAAGGACAAGTCCGATTTTTTCAAGTTTTGTGGCACGCATAGTCTCGATGAGAAGGGTTTCTGCATCCATGTAGTTCTACCTACGAGTTTAAAGAGGTTGGTTCGAGGACACGTTTTGCCTACTTAGGTGCAAAGAGACCTGCTCTGGTGCTTTTAGAACGTTCAAGTGTTCAACGCAATCAGGTTTTCCCTCGTAGACCAACCCAAGCTAATTTTAGCGAAGGTGCAGGTAAATTACCAGATGAAACACATTACGGACGAGCATGTCCCCCGCTTGAGCATGGTAAGGGATTACGGTTTCTCGAGTTTCACCTAGCGGAGTGATCACACACACATAGATACACCGGTAGAGTAGGTGTATCTACAAAAGCATACATACATATATATATATATATATATATATATGTATATATGTATATATGTATATGTATATGTATATATATATATATGTATGTATACATATGTACACATCTATATAGACATGGGCATATGTATATGCACATACACATGCCCACATATACATATATATGTATGTATATATATATATATATATGTACATGCTCAATTTATGTGTATATATTTACACATGTATTCACACACACATAAGAAGCCTGTTGAAGTTGGGGCTTCGGCTGAAGCTTCGGCTTTGCTGTTAGAGACTGGTCTCGCGAGCAAGGTAACGTCCTCACACGGCATCGAATCCCACACGCCTGGTTTGGACTGTTATCCCTCGGGACTGAGGCATGTCGCCCGAAGCATCAAATCGATCTTGAACAAATTGACGCTGGAGAAGCACCCCGGTTCGGCTTTGCAGTTCATGGGGTTCTCTGGTATTTTGGTTCAGAGCGTGAGGAACTAGTCGTTGCCACTTTTGACACACTTCTCATAGTCTTGCGTGAACGTTTTTCAGCAGTGGTACTTCTTTACGACTGAAGTGGAAGGTATCCCATGCTTCCGCGAGTCTTGGGAGGCACAGGCTGAACTTACGACAATATGGTGTCATGAGGCCTGCCCATCACACTCAAACCCGTAGCTCCGAGCCCAAACACCAAGACCCACTGCTTATCGCGAGCGAGCTTCCCACTGAAGGTTTGCAAAACTTACGCAGCAATTGCTTGCATGCGGCATTTCCACCTCAAGCCATGTTGAGATTCTGATCCACGAGGCTCGGCTTCGGCAGATTTGTCAAATTTTAGGTTTGTTGCTTAGATTGGGCTGAGGATTCCAAGAGTTTCGGGAGGTTTCAGGCTTCAGTGGCTGGGCTTTGCTGTGATCGAACTCCACGAGCATTGCATTTCGAGCACCGCAGTTGTTTGTAAGCAGGGCGCGGCCTTTTTCGTAGCTGTTTCGTGCCGAACTTCGGCCCCACGCTATGGCTGCAAGGCAGCACAAGTGGAACAGTAGCTCGGGTTTGAAGACTATGGCTATGGCATGCCGAAATTATGCGAACGCCTCTGAGACAGAATACTTGTTTTTTCATCTCAGGGAGTGATAAGAAGTAGGACGCTCCGGCTGACCCGATGAAAACTGGCCCCGCCACGAAACAGGCGAAGCCGGCCAAACGCCTACGGATCCACCTTTCGCTGTCTCGGCAGGTCTTCGAGAAAGCCACGACGCAGCATCATTACATTGTGCCTCGGTCCCACATTGGTGGCTTCTTATTCCTCCCCAACCCACTTACCTACTGCCTTTTTTTAAGGATCGAGGGCACAGGCACGACACTCTGGTTTCAATCTGCCCACCCTACATGAAGGCTAAGCGTCTAAGCCTTGAGCCCAGGCATGAGTATCCCCGCTTGGACGCCGGGTTTAGGTTATAGGGCGTAAGGTATATAGGGTTCAGAGTTTAGGGTTTAGGGATGTTGTGAGACCGATCAGCATCTACATGATGGCACCTCACCGGTAGCAATCTTCCCGTCCCACAGGGATGGGACTTGTTTGTAGGTCCACGTGGGAACCTATGCCCGATTCGTTTTCTTCGGACCTCCCAGGGTCTGTTTCTCTCTCCCGCGAACATGACGTGAAACCGTCGGCTATTTCAAAGCACAACAGTGGCCCAATCTCGAAAGTGACCACGGGAAGGGGGCCGGAGCGGCTGCTCACGCGCGGGCGCAGTGTTTACAGGATAGAGGAACCACAGGTCAGGTGCAGCGCATCGATGCTCGCAACCGAACGAACGAACATTTATCATGTCATCTTAATCCCAAAGGCTTCCAATCCTCGCCAGGATATGTACACAGACCTTTGCGTGCTGCTCCACGAGCACTTCACAGTCAATCCTTTCGAGGGTGCTGGCAGCCTACAAGCAGGACGCAAGCTTACTTTCAAGCGTCTGTGGCATGGCGGTGTTTGAGGTTGTTCAGCTTGTGGCGCTTTGGTGTTCTGTTGGCGCCCACCTTTGAATTTGGTTACGGAGGATTTCAGGAAGATCTATTCAGACACCGTTGGCCGCGAACCTGCAACGCAAATAAGGAATTAACGGGGTCGTTCCGTTGGCTTCACGTCAAGGCTGCAAACCTATAGATCCTAAAGCCCACTCTGACTGAACCCTGTAAGGCGGGCTCATCCTGGGCAGGTGGGAGGCAAGAAACAGCCCATGCGTGCACTAGGTGGCAGGCACGACAACTTCTACCCTAAACCACTAACACCCGGAGACTCCGGGCATGAGCAAACAGTCCTCAAACCCTGGCCCACCAAAAGAAACCAACTGCCCCGCCTTCGAAACAGAAAAGCAAACCGGCACCTCCGCATCATCATAACCTTCGTAGCCACCCTTCTGGTCACTCGGAAAGCACTGCTGAAAGTAATCCTCAAACTGCAGACCTAGAACCCCAAACCCAAACCTTGGTAGCCGAGCGCTGTCCGCCGTGTAGCAGAATCCTCGCCTATAGGTTCGTCCGAGAGTGAGTGCTGAAACCTTGGCCTTATAGCAACTTCGGACTTCTCGGGCCCTGGCGAGCTACAGCCCAGGCTTCTGGACGAGTGTCAGATGTCCTTCGAAAGACTTTTGGCCCCACCGGAGGCCGGTTATGCGAAATAAGAGTTCCTTTGTCTATAGCGATAATATGTATGTATACATATATATGTGGAAGTACATTTACATCTATAATTCTGTATATGTTTATGTTTATGTTACAGATGTTTATCTTCTTAGTTACCCTATATGGGAGTAAATAATCAGGATCCAGTCCAAAGTTTACGCAGGCGGGATGATATGAAATCCTTATATGATAGGGTGTAGCTGTCTGATACGGTTGGGATACTTTGGCATTTCAGGGATTCGCTTGTGCAGCAAGTTGGGAGGGACGGTTGATGTCATCAGGTGCGGTTTGCAATTTCCTTGCTTGCAAGTCTGGGCTACCACCTCACGAGCTTCTGCGTTTCATAGATAAAACCTGATCTGCCTCAGAAACAAACCTGTGCACTTGCCTCGCCCCCTAACTCGTACTTCCAGAAGATGGATGTCCGAGAGCAGAAGTGGCAGAAGAGTTTGTCCTCCCCCGAGCCCTGTTAGCCCGAGCCCTCCTCCTCCTCCTCCTCCTCCTCCTCCTTCTTCTTCCCTCGCAGGGCTTGGATGAACTGGCGCCAGAAGAGCGAACGGCTGCGGAAGTAGGTTTCCAGGAAGCATCGGGAAGGGAGAGTCTCAGTCCGCGAGTGTGAGTCGACACACATCCATGAAAGCCTAGTTCATCATACACATACGTACCTGGTTGCCCACCTACCTGCCGGCCTACCTACCTAGCTACCTGCGTACCTGCCTACCCAATTGCTTGCCTGCCTACATGCCGCCTGCCCGCCCGATCGCCTGCCTGCCCGCCTAACTGCCTATACATGCATGCATACTTACATGCACACAAACACACATACCTGGTACTAGTTACAGACGTGAAATCGTACGTGCATGTGTCCACGCGCACAGTTCTTGCTTGGCAGCCATTGGGATCCAGTGCTGCAATAATTTTTGAGGCTACAAGACCCACATGCTCGGCAATATCAAGCTGGTTGGCGGGCTCCTTTCCCGCGGCATGCTGGCCAGCAAGGCTCTCACTCATGGAGACAATGCTCTTTGCGTGTGATGTGCCAGCAAAGGGAATTGTAGCGGTGGAGTGAAAACACCGTAGAACGAACACTGAAGTAGCAGTAGTAGCAGCAGCTGTAGAGTGCAGTGGCAGTAGTCGTCGTCGTTGTCGAGAAGCAGCAGCAGCAGCAGCAGAACTAGTAGTCCTGATAGTGCGAATAGTACTGGTGGTGAGGAAATTGGTGTGCTTGTTGATCGCCTACAATTTAGTATGTTTCTGCTTTTCGTCTCACTATTTAGTAGGCTTTCTCAATCTCAGTGTCCTCTTTTCGAGATTTCTCAACCTGCTCTCAGTTCCGATTGCTGCAGCCGTTGCAGATTTCGACCTGCCTTTATTGTTGACTATCCTTGTGCGTTTCGCGGGGCTTTTGTGGGGTTGGGTTTTTGTTTGCAGGTTTTTCGTGTATCGATAGGGCGTTTGGTATTCATGTGTGCAGTGTTTTTTTCGCGCCTCGGTTTGCAGGCGGGCTGCTGTTCCGAACGCAGGTATAGAATCCTGGGGATCAAAAATAGCCCAAAAGCCTTATACATTATGGTCTTTAAGCCAAAGCCCTTTAATATCTGAGTCCAGTGCTTAGAGCCCTAGGAAAAAGGCCCAACTTCGCATTCGGGAGGCCTGAGGCCGCCAGGCATTCCCTCAGGATGATGACGTCCATGCTGCCAGACCACCCTAAACCCTGAACCCTGAAGATCAAAAACAAAAAAGAACCTTGAAGATCCGAGACGAGCTATTGATGGCATATGTCGGTTCGGTGTGCTCAGTGTATTGCGCTGTTTGTGTTAGTTGATATCCTGTGGACTATGCGGAGCTTTGCCTGCCTTGTGTGAGTGTGAGCGTCGAAACCCTGAACAGAGTATACGTGCCCGGACTGTGATAACGCCCGTGGTCTAGTGTCTAGTGCGACTTGGGAAGAGAGAAGCGAGCATCCATGCTGGAACGCCGGTAACCGCACGCGGAAAATCTAGAGCAAACAGCAAGGAACAGTGGCGCTGTAGATTGGTGAGACTGCATCCGAAGCTTAGATGGCGGAGTGTGCCCCTAAATCTCGAAACCAAACAAGATGACGCGCAGACATAGTGTTCCAGAGAAATAGTATGCCTGTCACTGCTGTTACAATGCCAATCCGTCACAGGTGGGCATTGCGATTCTGGAAGAACTCCTCTCCAACCCGACCCCGGAGGTGCGGCATCGCATTTAGGGTGCCGAGACTTGCTGTCAACGATGACTCCGACAACTGCTGCTGCTGCTGTTGCTACTGCTGCTGCCCCTCCTCCACGACGACGACTACTACAACTACTACAGGTGGGTGACAAAAACTACAAAACTACTACTACCACGACCACGACTACTGCTACTGCTATTTCTACTTCTGCTACTAATTACTACTACCACCACCACCACGACTACTACTACTGACACCGCTACTGCCACTGGTACGATTGTTGCGACTACGACTCCGACGACTACTACTGTGACGTCCACGAGCTACTTTGGCTACTACTTTTGCTGCTGCTGCTGCGGCTAGTGCTGCCTGCATGCTTCCACTACCACTATTGCTGTGGCAAGACCATGCAGAGCAGTGCGAGGAACAATAGGTATGACAGGATAAGGAATGTGATGGTTGCCACAAAAACTGTAGCTCTGTTTAGTAGAGGTGAGAACCCTCAATCCAGGCTCTTGAGTCGGCTGCTGCGCTTCTCACGACATTGGGCCCCACGGCCGACTGCAAGGACCGCCTGTGACGGTCTAGATTGCTTTGGAATCCCTCGCTCCGTGCGAACTCATCAGTGATGTCGCTCTTCCACAAAAGACTTGCGAAAAGTTCGGTATCGCAAAACGCAAGTTGTATGTGTGAGAGTATATGGCTCTGCCTCAGTTCTTCTTGCGAACGCCTCCCTTCGGGTCGCAGTGGGGCTTCGGCACGACTGCAGAATTTTCGGCTGGCCGACACGTCTGGACAATCACATTGAGAAGCAACTCATTCTAATGGTTATCACATTGTCTTTATTTTCTGCATCCGATGGCATGATTGTGCTAGTCACAGTGCAAGATCGAACCGCGCAGCTCTATACTCCGTCGTGCAGGTTGCAGGCACTAGTCCGTGATGGTGCACCCCTTGCTGCATCCCCTGAAGCATGTCAGGCAGGAAGACAGTTCAAGTTCAAATGACACCTCAGTAATAATGAGCCCGAAATCCTGAATCGGTAGTTGAAATCCTGAACCCTCAACTCCTCAACAATGCACCTGGTCCGCCTGGCAGTGAGATTCGCAATCCATGCGCCAGGTCTGTCCGAGTTGAGGAAGTTGAAAACCATTCGAGAGCCAACAAAGCACAAGGTGTAGCGGTTGCAGGGAGATGCTTCGGATGCGAGGAGTGGCCGCAATACACCGCCCTGACTCTTGACACCGAAGTCACAGCGGACATCGGGTTGTCTGCAAAGGCCAACTTCATGCCGTTTTCCGTGGTTGGCGTAGGCGACGATCATGTTCTCCGGAGATGTGATGCTGGTCGTTGAAGCGTTCAGGATTTGTGCATGCGCTGATCTCCAGCATCGCCCAGGAACGCCATCTTTGACCAGATCTCCACCATTGTGAAAACCAAGAAGTGTCAGCCTCGCGAACGATTCCTCTTGAAGGAGCCCAGCTACCCTTCCCCAGGGTCTTTCATCAGGATTTGTGCAGCTTTTGGGTTCCGGACTGCCAGGTCGCAGCAAGCCGCGTGCAAGCCCTGCGCATGCACCCCAAGCTTCACCCTTTGGAATTCGGGGTGTATTCAGTCTCGTAGAGTTTGCACCCTGGAAGGGACACTCCTTGATTGTTTCATCAGACATTTGAAGCGCCTCACCTAAATCGCAGTTCTGGAATGCGAACGAAGCAGAAGCTGATTGTGCATCTCGGATACATATTCGGCTGAGACCAGAGGCAACCACAATGAAAATTGCATCAGCAAGGCTTTGTACCGTTGTGTGAAATGCGTCGTGCCAATCATGACATATGATAGTATACCCAAAGGCCCCAAAGTAGTTCCTTTTTGGGGTTCAATTATGTAGACTCCTATAAGGTAACCCCAAAAATGAACTACTTTGGGGCCTCTGGGTAACAGATAAATGGATAGATAGTCACTAAACCCTAAACCCAAACCCTTATAAGCTTGTGTTGTTGAATGTTCTTCGCGAGCCACTGGGAACACGCTGTAGATGCCCGACCTGCCGACTACGAACCTCGTCTGGATGCGTCCGAGTTGCGAGAGTGTAAACCCTTATAAACCCTACATAAACCCTAAACTGATAGTCATGTGGGAACCTGGCCGGCCGCATTTTTCAGGACCTCTTGGAGCTCCGGGCGGCCGGGTGGGTGGCTTTCCTGCTGTTTATGGTCTATAACCCTGAAGAACCTACATTTTTGAGGATTGAAATAAAGAAATCGTTAGGTTATTCAGGGTTAAGGTAGAGACAAGGTGATCTGTACGCGGCTGTTCTGAAGAAGTTGCTGCGGGAGGGACCGTCGAACTCACTTGCTTAAAAGAGCATGGTATGCACCAGGGACGTACTCCACTTCTAGAATCCTTGAACCAACAGAGTTATTGAAATTTACCATGCGATGCAACCTCTTAGACCGGCCAATAAGCATGAACTTTCCAGAAGCAGATTGGTGCGGATTATCGTCTTTGCTGATGCTTGTGTGTGCTCAGGGTTCCTGAGCCCGCACTTGACACTTGACATCCGAGAGCAACAGCAAGGTCACATTCCGACCCCGGAGGCTGGAGAGGGCCATGACGCTGTCCCAGGTGCGGGGCAGTTTGGATGTCGGCCTCGGGGATGGATGTCCGCGTGTCGTGTATAACTCGGGGTTGTGACGGCTCCATTCCGATTCCAGCCGCTTCCAAGGCTTGTTGTTTTTTTGTTTTCCGCGGTGGAGCTGTTGTGACCATGTACTCAACATACTACTTTAACATGCTGTAGCCCGTTCGGGGTTCATGTTGATACAACCATATAGTCGTGGTCCTGATGTCTCTGCTTGCCAGAGATTGGCTCGGTGCCATGTTCATCTTTTATTATCTTTACTCTTGCCCTCTCCGCTGCCATCGTTCTGTCTCGCTGTAACAGAATCCAAAATCGTCACCAGATCTTGGTGAGAGACAGCCGCAGTAACAATAGTCAGCGTCATCTCCATCTTGTTGTTCAGAATGAATTGGCTTGCTCCTCATCTTCATCTTCGTCATCAGTCAGGGTAATGGCTTCCGATTCCCTTGCGGTATTTTTTTCAGGGGCAATGCCAGGGCAGGTCGGGTCTGATAACCAGCACCGCCATCAGAATAAATCATGCCCCCGCTCATGGAGGTGATCGTTTGTTCCATCGCCTGGCTGGTTTTGTAGCCGTGAGACATAGGTACTTCAAGGCCTAAGTATATACTTGGAGCCTTAGGGGCAGTTGGGGCTCCGCGCATATTTTTCCTTCGCATCTCGACCCGAAACCTTAAACCGCAGTCGAAGTAGCTGTGATGCCCCTCCAGGTCGCCGACTCCGCGGCGGGGCGGCGGGTAGAGCCCCAGGTGCGATCCCCGACCTATACCAAAGCCATATAAGCTCTTGTCTTTCTTGCAACGCTGACATTGGGAAAGCTGGGAGTGGTGGAGGGCCCGACATATTGCCAGGTTGATCCCTGAAAGGGCGATGATTTCAGTTCGCGCTGCTTCAAAGCCTTCTGGGCCTTGGGGCGGTTTGAGGTTTCAGGAAGTATAGATACCCTATTACGGCTAAATTAGACTGCAAGCCATCCTTTCCGGCCTGAGTGTCTGGTTTCCTAAACTCTTCATTCTGACGCCGAAAGCAACGGATCCGGGCTGTGCAGGCGATCCGCATGGTCGGTCCTGCGGCGCCGGTCTTTGAGCAGGACCGGGCGGGTGAGCTCAGGGTTTACGGGGGCTGTGGGCTTCAAAGCTTTGGGGTTTGGAACCTCCGCCTTTGGAGTAAGTGAGTAGTGACAGTATCCGTGCCTACGTCAAGCTTTACGGCGTATTTTGTAATTAGCCGTTGGTTCGCATCCTTGTTGTCCTGGTGAGGACAAGTTCCGTGAGGGTGCGAAGAAGGCCCTCGTTGAGTGCCCTGGCAGGAGCGGAAACGGACTGTAATCCTTGCTCGAGTATGGTTGCGATGATCTCACTTGTTCTTGTTGTCACGTCCCTCTATCGTCAGCAGCTTTTCTCAGAATTGGCTCTGTCCCGTGCGGATGAAGAAAGGGGCTCGCGGTAAGGCAAGGTTTATTCGGCTCCCTCGTCCGAACTCCGAACAGAAAGTCCCCCACATTTGTGGCAGTGGCTTCTGCTTGCGAAGCTCATGTATTAAGCATAGGCCCCGATGTCACATGTTTTGTCCTGGGCAATTCAAGTTTCTTACCTGGCTTCGGAGAGACTTGCTGCCCAGGCTGCGCTACAGCGGCTGCCTTACCGAGGCCTGGACCAGCTGGTGAATGATTCGGGGTTGCTAGTGTGGTTGTCGGCCCGATGTAGACTTTGGGAGTTTCCTAAAATAGGGGCACCTCCTCATAATAAGGACCTTACTACTTAGGGTACGACATAAGGGTCCCCTATTTCCGGAAACTCCCATTTGGTTGGTTCAGGTTTCGCGGAGGGGCCAGGACCGCAGGACTTTGAGTTGCCGCAGATCGCCACGCTGAGCACACCTGGGAGCCACAGTTGTGTGTGTGTGTGTGTGTGCTGAATTCCTGATCCTGTGCCATAGCAACAACAGTATCAACCATACCAGCCAACCTCAACGCGCGCTGGATGAGTGGGGGACGAAGTCGCCACCTTCGAGTTAAGTCAGACTCCCCGGACAGGACTTACATGCACATGGCTAATCTACGATTAATGTTTTCTTCGGTTCTGCAAGGCTGCATGTCAGACCTGACAGCAAGATGAACACAGCCAGGTTGCATGCAATCCTCCACAGAGTTAGAGCCGAAAGTCCGACCTGTCGACGTCATGTGCCCTTGGACACCTGGAACTGGAATGGTGAAACTGAACCCCAGTGATTTCCAGAAGGCCTTGGCGAGATTGGCATCCTTGGGCGTTCCTCCAGCTTCTTGCCGGGTGGTTAAAGGGTGACCAAGGGTGCTGGCTCGAGGCTTTGTTGGGGGTGATTCCAAGGATGCACAGCTTTGTGGCGCGGCTTGGGAACGCAGGCGGAGCAGAGTTGGTACTCGTAGTTGAAAGCAAGCCTCACGGCCCAGGCGTTTTGAACCCTCAGCCCAAGTCTTTGGACTCAAGACCCCCAGCCTTTATTCTTGACTGCTCAGGTTGCTGAACAGGCGGCTGAGCTGGCTCAGATCGCAAGCCTTGTGGTTCAGGCTCACCGACCGATTTTTTTGATCCAACGATCGCGCTTGACTTTCCGGAAGGTTCGACTATTTCGGCGTACGAATGAGCACCATGGGTCATGCTGCAAAAGCTGCAGACATAACATGCATCCGCCACAATAAATGAACATCTGTGTCGTTCGTGTTTTCAGATGGTTGATGGGCTGAAACCTGTCAGCAGAGCACCCGCCACTCCGACTCACTATGCTTGTGTGTTTGTTAGTTTTCGAGTCTTGGCAGAGCCTTGCCAAGTACTTGGGGCATGGATTCTGCTAGTATAAGTAGGACTTAGGACTAGAAGACTGCGACACGCCCGGTTGCAAGGCACATACATGCGCAGTCCCCGAGCCATTTGTTCGGGTCTTCGTCGTAGAAATAAACTATTCGTTTAGTACCGGCCATTCTGCGTTGCTACCGTTGGGACTTCACGCTAGCTTCGGAGAGCCTTTCGGCTATCGTGGTGCCTATTGCTGCCACTGTAAACTTGCCAGCCATTTGTTCAGGATGGTGCGAAGCCCAATAGGCAAAGCAGAGACAAGCTACACGTCGCGAGCGCACAAGAAAGAACTATGCCAGCACAGATGCCCTAACCGTGAAGCCCGTTCAGTAGTGTGTATGGCACTTATGTGTGTCTGGAGGAAGGAGCCGTGCCCGCACGCGAGTCGGGCATGAAGGTGATGCTGGAGCTGGCAGGCGTTTCCAGTTCAAGCCAAAAGCTCTCACCTATAGTGCTTCTGGAGGGACCTAAGATTCCGCAAAAGCCGGTTTGCAACACGGGAGTTTGTCGAGCTTAGACAGAATGTCTCCGGCTATGTCGGAGTGAATAGAGATGTAGAAGTACGTTTTATCGTCCAATAAACTGATCTTTCACGCACTCGTTTCAAAATAGCATGTACTAGTAAGATATAAGCCACGAGAAGACACTGTAATGTACTATGAGATACCACAATACACCAATGTGTACCAGCACGAAGAAGTTCTAAGCCTCCAAGCACCCTATACGTGAAGACGAAGCACAGACGAGGATTGGGCATGCTTTTATTCAGCTTGTTCCGTTGCTGTAGAGTCTTGTGGGAGGGCAGATGCAAGGTGCATACTCTAAACATACCCCGAAGCCTTATTCAATGACTAAGGCGAACAATTTTATGTTCTTCGGCAAATTCTGCCTTTTGCTTGAGACATGCATTTTTGCAGTGGCCGTTGAGCGAGTTAACCCCTTGACTTGATCTTCTTGCATCGCCCTACATGCTCGAAGCTGACAGCCGGAGTTCTGGCACTTGAAGTTTCACCTCCCTGCGTGCATGTACTCAAACACCTGTGAAGATAAGAGAAAGGCAAGTCCCCGAGCTGCATACAATATGGATTCCAGCACCATGCCGTCAAGCCCCGTTTTCTTTTGCCGTAGTTTCAAGATTAAGTTTTTTTTTTAGGGCCCTGAACTGCCGGGGCATAGCGGAAATCCTTCAAAATCAAGTCGAGACTGTCTGCCCCAAGCATCCTGAAGTCGTAAGCCGTTGAAGGCTTTTGCAGAAACCAAGCCGATACCGATGCTTTACTTTTTGGGGTTCCTAGTTACAATTATAGTATAGTGGGCCCCAACACCCTATTCTAATTAGCCGCAGGTAGCAAAGGCTGGGGCGCGGATGCGCTCTGCTCTGGGATCACCTTGTTTGTGAAGGCCGGTGCTGCCAGCCTGGTGGCTTCAACCTATCGAGTTGCACATTGATAGGTTGTTGGCGACTCTGCTGCGTATGCATTTTCTTGTCACAAAAAGTGTTGAATCTCGGCAACAAGCAAACAAGGGTTCAATTCGTTTGACTCGCATCTTGTGCTATTTCTGCCGCTGCATCTCGCACATCTGTAGTTCAGCTTTTACCTTGTCTTTGCTTGAGGCACGATCGCTGATCTATTGTTCAATGTGTGCCCCTTGTAAAGTGCACGCACATTAGCTGCAGCTCTAGTTGTGCAGCATCGAGAGCAATGTGAGGGGGCGTCAGCGGGGACATGCGATAGCAGTAGTACGCGCAGGCTGATATTGGAAGCGTTGCGCAAAAGTTGGTGCACTGTATTTCCTGCATGCATGCCAGGTGTGACGCGCATGTTTTGCATCGTCCTTAGTTCTGGCATACGTATACATTCAATCAAACGCATATTGAAAGCCTGCTCAACGTACAGGTAAGATATATAACATGGAAGCTTAGCTCCATTCTCACGTGTCGAAAAGAAGGCTACTGTCATTGTCAACGTGCAGATAACATGTGCACAGGCACCGCGAAGATCGGCACCTGAAGGTATAAAGGCTGCCAGAGTTTGGTTCGATGTCCCTGCCGTGTTGTTTATATATCCAGCTTCACCCTAAACATGCGTGTGTGTTTTTTGTGTGCATTACGCACCCTGCAGGTGCAAATGCATTCGATGTGCAGTGGTGCAGTTGCATACGAACTGGAATGCATCCCTAGTCAGTCTGCCATGTCTTCATCGTGTCGTATGACACCCGTGGTTATATCTCCTGGGAGTACCTGCAAGGTGCATATACCATCGATGTCCATCGTAGACCCACAAGGTGCATCAATCTCGTACTTTCTGCATATACGTGTATGTGTGTCGTCAGTACGTGGACCAGTCTGTCTGCCTGCCTGTCTGTCTTTCTGTGTCTGTCCTTCTGCAACATTGATCGAATTGAATTGCTCACAGTCTTTTGAGGACTTCATTCACAGCTACATGGGTCTGTCTTTGTTTGGTCTTCATATATGATCACTCCACGTTGGAATGCTGAAATCTGAAATTGCCCACCACCACCGCAACTTTCTTGCCTTAGCCTAATGTGGCCGTGGAGATTTTCCATCAAGCTATGCAGGAGGCAACAACCTGAACATGAAATGCACGGCCGGGGTCGTCAAACTCCCGCATGCAGGAGATCGCACCGGACCTTTGCTACGACGTGCCTGGATTGCAGAAGATCTTGTCCGAGGAGCGATTGCCCTTGCCATGAACAAAGTTGTTCAAGCCGTACATACACATCCGTATCTACATAATCGTAACCCTGTTTTGATTGCCCTGTTTTGATTGTTAAGGCCCCTATGCTAGAACCCAGCAGAAAAGCCCGATGCTTACAAACATCTTTAGATTATCAGCGTTCCAGGCTCTACTGCGAACAGCACTCCAGGCACTGTGCGGATTTGTGGCATTCGCGGAACCTTGCACTGACCATTTGAAATTGTGGCAACCTGGAGGGCTTCCCAAACCCTGCAACATCTGGGCTGCTAAATCTCCACAAGTGAGGAATCCCCAAGATCTTGAAACCCTATAAATCCTGTACACCCTAGCCCACCCTAAACCTAGTTGGACGTGGACGTGCCTCGCCCGGATTGTGCGAGTTGTGAGTGCCCAAAACTAGTTTGGGTATAGGCGCTGAGGCAAAAAGGGGCTGGGCAGGTGGCCCAAATCGAAATCTCTCCTGCGATTGGTCTTGGATGCTGAGTCATTATTTAATTTGACGCTAGAAAGAGTGAGTGAAAAGAGTGAGTGATCACCCCCCTAAACCTAAACCCAAAGCAGGAGCTCAGCACCATTCTGTCTACATCGACGAATCATCGCGCAGCCTGGGAGATCTTGTCGACTTTTCAGGCTCAGACACCCTAAGCCCCCAGACACATTGACTAAAGCTGTGATCCGAAGGATGCGTCGGAAATGGGATTCGAACATTCATGACAGCATGAAGAATGCAGCGGCCATTCACGAGCTTGGCACAGACTCCTAGAAGTTCTTGCGAACGACAGGCGTGCGAAGATAGATACATAGTGCTGCAGGCAGCAGCACCTTTGCTGACGACACTTGCAATTGTCGTCACGCAGCAGCATGGAGAGAGTAGGCAGTAAGCAGCAGCAGTAGCGGCAGCAGCAGCAGGAGGAGTAGTAGAAGTAGTGGCAGCGGTAGAAGTAGTAGTAGTAGTAGTAGTAGTAGTAGTAGTAGTAGTAGTAGTAGTAGTAGTAGTAGTAGTAGTAGTAGTAGTTGTTGTTGTTGTTGTTGTTGTTGTGGTAGTAGTAGTGGTAGTAGTAGTAGCAGTAATTAGTAATAGAAGTAGGAGTAGGAGTAGGAGTAGCAGCAGGAGTCGTAGTCGTAGTCGCAGCAGTCGTCGTGGTAGTAGTAGCAGCAGCAGCAGCAGGAGTAGTAGTAGTAGTAGTAGTAGTAGTAGTAATTTGTTGTTGCGGCTGTTGTGGTTGTAGTAGTAGTCGTAGGAGTAGCAGTGGCAGTAGCAGTAGCAATAGCTCAGTAGCTGTACATAGCCGCAGCAATTGCGGTTGCAGGAGTAGTGTCGTCGAAATATACGTGACTCGTGGAGTTTTTATCAGCAGCAACAGCAGTAGGAGGGGGCGGAGGAGTATGGAATTGCCGCTTGTGCTACCAACACTGCCGCCGCACAACCACAGCAACGACCGTCGGCACTAGTTGCCTTGCCTACTTCTGCTGCCTCTCTTGCAACTCTGTGACAACCACTTCTTCTGTTGCGACTACGTTTGCTTTGTTTGCGCTCACTTCTGTTCGTGCTATAGAACATGAGGCTCAGAGCTTTGGACTTGACTTACAGGATTGCGCAGCTGTTTCATGTCGATGCCAACTTTGTGAGGTGAGGTCTCGCGGTGTATTAGTTTCCGTAGCGTTGTGGCATACACGAGCACCCGCTGACCATCTTGGTCAGGCGCAATAGCTGGCGTTTGTGAGGTTGGGCTCAGTCATAGGCATGCCATGTGCGGTGTTGCGAAACTGGTATCGAAGGAGCACTACGAGAAAGTCGAAACTTAAGGTTTCGCATCCCGCACGCTGACTTGATAAGCATGCGCGGCAGGATTTTAGAAACTCCTACCAGTGACAGGAGCCTCCTTTGTTAAGGGCTTGATTTGCTTCGCAGAAGAGCCACCGTTTATCAACAGGCCACTTCCTCTCATGCAGCACTTTGGGAGCATTGCCCGGCGACTCGCTCATTCCTTCCGTTCTTGTATTGTGGCTGTAGGTTCAAGTCCACAACACTCGACAGGATCTGAACGAACTTGCGGCATGCATGCGGTGTTTTCTCATTGGTGGGGGCTTCTGGTTCTGCGGTTTGTTCACTGCAGTTACAGTTGAAAAATTGATGAAGTGTTCGTCAGGTTAGGTTTGGGGCGCTGGCTTTTGGTGCTGGCAAGATCCTTGGGATCGGACACCCAAGTTCCGGGGGATGCATACACGTACTTAAATTTCTTGGAAAGACTGGAGGAGCCCGTCGTAGCTGTCGCCGGATGCAGCGCTAACGCATGGCGAGGGCAATACTTGCCTTTACTTGCCTTCCTCGCGGCGGCTAGCGGCAGAGGAGTCTGGGTGTCGTGCTGAAGCTGACGATTTGGCAGTGGAGCTGGCGTTTCTTCCGTTGGGGCTGCTTGAAAAACATTGCTAGCAACGACTACCTGTAGGTTGCTTTGGATCTGAAACTTTATGTCGCAACACAGGATGTCAGAATGATCTTCTCTCGCACACCTGCAGCAAACGCCTCTCCATACTGATGCAGCTTTGGTGTTTAATCCGGCTGGCAAGGTGGTTACTGGTTTCAGCAATAGTCCGCTCTTGAGAGCGATGAAGAAGCAGTGCGAGATTCCACCTGCGCATTTCGGAGTCTTGGGGCTTGCGGGGTGGATCGAGTTTGAACTTTGCGGGAGTGGGGGTGGAGCGGGGGGGGGTGGCAGTGCGGACAACACAACGAAGCTGATTCCTAGTAAGATGGTTTGCCAGTCGTGAACTGCAGCAGGAGAGGGAACGGAGAGAAGGAGTGACACGCGGTCAGCGAGACAGGAAGACAATGCCCGGAGCGCATAAGAAACACCAACAGCAGAGATATAGGAGTCCAAACATTCGAGTTTTCCTCCCCCTGCAGACCTCTTACGCACGGATGTCGGGAAGGCCCAGGCTGCTTCGAGGGCTGCGAGATTTTGGGTTTCGGGTTTCGTTCGAATGCCCGGGAGGGAAAGGGAGAGAGAGAGAGAGAGAGGGTTGATGTCTGGCGATTCAGGGATTTTGAGTTTCGGTGTTAAGTCAACCGGGGAAAAGTCAGGGGGAGGGTTTCAAAGCCAGAGTTCTCATTCTAAAATGTTCGAACACGAGAACAAGAAGAAAGTCAGGGGAGAACTGCTGTCGACGGACGAACTGACCAGAACCTGAGTCGTTTGCTGAGGGGCGGCAGAAGAAATACGGCTATGGTACATCGGCAAAAACCACCTTGCTAGCTGAACACCTAGACATAAGTTCACGCCCAAATACATTGCATCCATGCTTTGAAGTGCTTGGCAAGCGAAGAACCCATGCCGCCTGCTGAGCACCTTGGGGCAGCAGCAAATCTGCAGAACCAGCTAATGAGACGGCCAGGTAACAGCTAAAATCTGATTCACGATCTACTAAACTTTCGAATCCAGGTTCTCGGGTAGTGGTTTGTCAATTCGCGTGTCCTGTTCTGCCATCATTCTCGTGATGTTGCTTGGCGGACTTGGTAGGCTTCGAAAGACCGTTGAAGCACCGTTTGGGCTAAGTGGCTCTGATAGTAAGTCGTGCCCCGGTAGCCTAGATCGGAGTTCAAGAAGTCTGCGCATGGTCCGCGATCGTCATAATGTTCAGCTCTGTGGGCTCAGACAAGCATTGGCAAGGCATTCACCAGAAACTGAGCCGAGATTCGCAGGTTCTGCACATTTCACGTGGCCGATCCTTCTGCCCGACCGCTTAAGTTCACAGCACTGTTTCCTAGCATCTGGCCTTTTGTTCAGATGACCGAGAAAAAGACAGGCTTTTGCATACCTGTGCCTTTGATGGTGTGAAAATGATGTCCAACGGGCAGTCTTATGGAGAGTATGGGTTGCATGTCAACCCAAAACTTATAACTCTTAGAACCTCGAGACCTTACCGTACCAAGCCTGAATGGTTCGAATGTGAGCGTCGAAACCCTAAACTCCGAAAAGCCTTGAGACCCCAGCCAAACGCATAGGTACTGGAGAGGCAGGACTGTAACGAAATCCGGGGGCCTAACTTCAACCAGCTGGGCTGAGGAGTTGAGATCTTGCTGAGCCTCTTAGTGTATCACTCATATTCCACATGTTTAGATGTGGACAGCAAGGAACTAAAGTCTACCTTAACCCTGAATGACCTTCCTTTTAGGGTTCCTCATTATGATTTCCTCATATAGGTTCTTCGGGTTCAAGGTAGAGATTACGGGGCTTACAGGGTGGTTATGCGTCTAGGCTGTCTTTGCGTTCGTTTGTCGCGTCAATGATTTATTTACCCCGATCAGAAAAGGCAGCGGCAATGTTCTGCCCACAAACGTGTCCTAGAGTCACCTCGCAACAAGGTGATTTTGATGGCGAAACTCTGGTTCTTGCAGCTCAGCAGCTGTTCATGGGGCTTGATGAGCCAGTAAGCGCAAGTGCTTCATCCACGAATGTACTTCAGAGGCCTTTGCGGCGCAGCCGGATCCCCAAATGTCACCAACTGTCAGTTTAGCAAGTGAGCAAACAGTCGGAGGTCCCAGTATATTATTGTTCTAATATGGAGTCCCCAGCATAGTATAGGTAATTATTACGGCCCCCTATATTACTATATCATCACTTGCTGGCTCTTGAGGTAGATCGCTCAGCCGGCACTGGACCCCCTATCTTCCGCGTCGTGCAGCTGGAGAGCCCCTTGGATCTCAAGCTTCTGAGCTCCTGAGAAGCTAGTATAGCAGCCTGATTACATTACTAACACTACAGTTGATGATATAAATCCTGCATTACCCATAGTAAGGAATATACCATATTTCCCATAGTTTAGGGTCATTAAAGTACTGCAGGATTTATATCATCAACAGTATTTTGGGGTTTCTTGCTATAAATGTACGATTACCATCTAGTATGCCAATTATGAAGGCCCCTAACGTATGCAAAGGTTCACGGAAGATCATTTCATTAACGTTCATGCAGGATCTTGGCACCGTTCTAGGAGCAGGCTTCCGCGACGGTGCAGATTGATCCTCTTTCCGATGTTGCGAACACTTTTCACAATGAAAGCAAGTCCTGCCGCGAAAACGCTTTAGAGGAACCCGGGTTGTTGAGGGCTGGGTCACCTAAGGTTTTGTTCTTGACTTCCTTTACACTTGCATATCAGCCCGGTTCAGGGGACAAAGGCTGGCCTATGGTTCTTATCCGGGTTCTTGCGAGAGCCCAACATGTACCTTGAGCCAAGATGAGGTTTTCGAGGCAAGGCCAACAACGAAGCTACAACGAAATCAGAATCTGGCCTTCCTTGGCTACGGCTCAAGTCAGCCAGGGCCTCGACCTTGAGCATTCTCGGCAACTTCACTGTCGGGGTTCCCTATTATGACTCTAATATACCATGCCAACGTCCTGACCTGACCACTCATACGATGCTATCCGATCTCATCATGGTAAGGATCAGCCCGAAACCAAAGTGCCAACGAATTGCCCCCCCACCCGTTGCTGGTCTATGGCTGTGCTTCACATCTTTCTTGAAAGCTGAACGGGGCCTGCGGCGCCATGCAAGTATGGCTCTTTCTCGTTACCACTGCCGTCGTCGCTCTCAACTCGCTCTATTTTAAGCGGATGCTCAACTGCTACCGCAGCGTTGGAGGCTTCGAGCAGCATGACTACTCGGTTTTCGTGTCTGTCTTCGACATCCTGCTTTGGGCAGTCTTCATGTCCGCCGTAGCGCATGCCACAGGTGCCAGACCGCTGCGGTTGTCTGAATTCCCTCGTCGAGCCCTCCTCCGCGTGGCCGCCGTGGACCAGCTAGGAACTCTCTTGGCCAGTGTGGGCGCGACTCACCTTGCCGGCCAGGTTCAGGTGCTGATGAATCAGTCCGTGCTGCCGCTGACCATACTCCTGTCTTTGCTGCTAGGCCGACGCTTTTCGTCGGGACAGCTCGTTGGTGCAGGGGTAGTTCTTGCAGGCGCCATCTCAGCAGTGCACTTCGATGGCGAGGCTGTGTCAGCTTCACAGCTCCTCCTGCGAAGCCTCTTCATCTTCTCGGCCGCACAGGTGGCGGTGGCATCCGCGACACTTCTCAAGGAGGCGCTCTTGCAACGGCCCGCAACAAGCCGACGCGCGAACGAGTTCGATGAGGCGATCTCTCTGGGCGTAGCGATCGCTTGGAGGCGAGTGCCCATGGGCATTGCCCTCGCGCTTCTGGTTCCACTCAGGGTGCAATTGCACAGCCGAGGCTTGTGGGCAGACCTCCGGGATGGATTCCTCTGCTTCTGTGGACAGCAGCCTCGCTTTGGAGACCTGGGCTGCCCTGCTGCTGCCAAAACGACCTTCATGAGCGTCGGCTTCTACTCTCTGCAGACATTCCTTTGCTTGAGGCTCACGCAACAGGCCGGCGCGACGATCCGCAGCATTGCCGCAGTGACAGCCCTTCCTCTCGCCCAGCTGCTTTTTGCACAGCAAGGTTCAGAAGGAGAGGAGCTCGGCACAAGGTCCTTGATGGGCTTAGTCCTTTGCCTCGGCGGCTTTGCCATCTACACCGCCGCGGAGAAGAAGAAGAACGAGGTGCCTCAGCGTAGCGGCCTTGAGGAGCTGGAGGAGAGGGTACGAAGGCTGGAGTTGGATGTGCAGAGTCTCCCAAAGCTGGCAGCAGAAGACGAGGGCACCAAGATCCTCCAAGCGGCGGACAACCTCGCCCTTACGGGCGACGAGCGCAGTCGCAGAAGAGTGTTGGTTCAGAATGTGAACCGTCTGCTGGACTCGATTCCGTAGGCATCGTCGGACAGCCGGCCTTGACAGCACAACCGAAAGCTCTTCCGGTTTGTAGCCAGAAAGTGATTGACCAATCAAGGGTCGGTTGTGCCGAGTCATCGACATAGGTTGTCGCTGGATGGCTCAATGTGACTATCCCGACCGGACCTGCGCAGCCTCGCCTGAAGTTTGTGCTGCGAGATAAACGGTTCTTGCTTATTCTTGAGGCAAACTAGTCAATCCGGGCTGAGATGGCAGCTGGGGCATATAAGTTCCTTTGTACAGGGTGCTTCTACAAGAATTTCCTTGTAATTCGTTGCCATGAGTGATGAGTGGACATGCATGCAACCAACATGCGCAGATCAGACTCGGCCCATCCGCGTGTCGAAGGTCCATTGCGAACCGTAGAAATCATCCTTGCGCCTCAATCGGGGTGAACTCCCTTCATGTGCGCATTATCGAATCCCTTGCTTGCTTTTGTGGTTGACTTTCTCTCCGACCTCCCCTTGTCGCCCAGGAAACGAACACCTCGAGCGCCTCAGCTATAAGAGTTGGATACGGGCTCTGGGCTGTTTTATAGTTCCTGTTTTGTTTCAAGAACAGAGCCCGTTTTTTCCGGAAGGAGCACAGTTTTTTGGCTTTAACAACTGTTCCAGCGGCAGTCCTCAGACTGGCAGGTGGATGTCTGAGGCAGCCGCCAATGCATGCTAGGTATGTTACGTCTTGAGTACGGGAACTAGCCATGGCCCTAGCTGCTCAATCATGCACCGCCAACAGTAAGTCAAACGCTACTATCCCCCAGCTTTTCCCGAAGACTTCAGCGTTTCAGAGTCATTTCAGAGGAAGTGTTTCCTTGTCGTGTAGGAGGCCAAACCCTGTACAGAAACAAGCGTGGGCACTTGTGGGAAGGGACGCCGAGACTGGAGGCAGGTTCAACTTTTCGTTGCGCACTCGTTATCACCGTGGCCGAAGGATTGAAGCAATGCCGAAAGCCAGCATGGCTTCTGTCATCCGTTTGCCACTTGGCATGTGCAGGTGTTCCTCGATTTTGTCATCTTCACTGAAGAAACCGATCTGAGTATTGTTGAAGAAGATGACGAAAGCGATGCAAGACATTTCGTGAAGCTCATCAGCGATATTGGCAGCCATTTAGAGTTGATTGTAGGCGAAGCGTCCGTGAGTTTTCGAAAGATCCTCGGGCTGCCTTGCTTCGGTTTCGGCCGCTGGTACTACGTCGCTACCGCTTGTGACGAAGAGTTTCCCTAGCGGGCCAAGTGCACAAACCCAAGCACTCAGGTGGTGTGGTTCGTATCTGGTATATTCAGTGGACGCTTCTCTCCTGGTCTACGACTATCGAGACAAGGACAGCAAAAGCTTCAGTTGAAGAATTCGGGTCGTAAGAACTCGGTGTTTCGGAGTTCTCTTATCACGGTAGTCTTCGGGCACCTTCTGAATCCCGAAACCTTCGATGACTGACCACGCATGAACGTGTTCAATACACTCAGGGCCTTCAGCGACAGGGACGGGTTGGCAGGATGGCAAATTCAAAGCCAACAGGTTGGACTCTGTGGATGATGCCGAGGAAAGAAAGTTCGGACAAATGTGCAGAAACTTTAAGGAATTCCTGCCCGTGGCTTGCTTGAGCGCACATGTGTATCTCAGCACAACCTCTGCTTGTGTACTTTCAGAGAATGAGCCCAGCTCAGAAACCCACAGACTCCAATATCCTTTAATTGAAAATTGTACCTTAAAATCATAGTAGGATCAATAATCTGATTTAAGCTATAGCCGCATCTTTTGCGAAGCTTTCGCTTCCCTAGAGCCCTAGAGCTCGGCGAAAGCCTTAAAGTTCATAAGTTATATGCCCTAGACCCCGATGGAGCAAGATGTGAATCTGGTATAGAGTTCGTGAGCTGGAGCCCCGCTGATGAGCCTGAGTGAACTGCAGCTACAAATCGTGTGCTTGAAAGCCAAGTCAGAACTTGTAGTTGTTTTGCATGCTTGGTGAAAGTGAGTGGCATTCTGCCGAAGAGCGGTGTTGAGCCCCTGATGTGATTATCTTTGGCACGGTAGAGGCTTCTAGCATTTGTAATTGGCTTTCATGTTTTGCAGCAGATCGGAGTTGAGCTCTTGATGTGAATGGAACTTTAATGTTCTGTGTTGAAGTAACTGATCGGTTTAACCCAGCGGGCCCAGTCGCGCAAGGCAGCAGGCAAGAAGACCCTGATCCTGGACTTATCCTGGCTAACCCTAAACTTTCTGAAAACATGCCTCGCCTGGATTGTCCGAGTGTGAGCGCCGAAACTTTCTGAGAGGAGCTGAAAGCCACGATCACAGGACACAGGGCGGCTCCTCGGGCCTTTTTATACAGGCTCCTTTCAGTTAGTAAGGGTCATGTCAGAGTAGGTATAGGACCAATCCGGGCTACCATTGCGTGTTCCTGTTGTGGAGCAGGAAAGGTCGCGGTTTCGTTTTTGTTGGGGCAAAGCCCGCGAAGTCTTCCTTAGCAGTATTCCACGAAAAGTGCAGCCTAACGGCTCCTTATCTTCTGCCGTTGTTCTGGTGACAGCCATGTCATCATGACAGTAGTGGGCCCGTCCAGGAAGACGTGGATCCCAGATATGATACCTACCCATATCTACAAAGGTGTCAAGCTTTGATGAGCTCCCGTCAATGCCCACATGGATGTCTCAGCAGCGAGCTCACGCATTGGGTCGAAAGAATGGGTCCCTGTCGTAAGAGAAAGGTTGCTTCTGCATGATAATGTTCTTCCGCTGTAGTAGCCCCTGCTGCTTTATACTCCCTATAGCCCTATAAACCCTTAAGCCTTGTGCGCGGCCTTGCCTGCCCTGTGCGAGTGTGAGCGTCGAAACCCTTGCGCGAAAACCCCTAAACCCTAAACATAAGTACCATATGCCTCGCCTGGATTGTCCGAGTGTGAGCGCCGAAACATAAGTACGTCCTTGCCAAGTAGGAGGGCAAAATATATACTTATGCTACAGTATACACCCCGATATGGGAGTTTCCGGAATGAGGGGTACCCTATTTTGGGGTCCTTATAATACGGATCCTACTATTTAGGGTGCTATATTTCGGTCCCCTATTTTCGGAAACTCCCATATGAACTCAGTCCTCAGGAAATCGTGGCAGTCGACACGCACGACCCCGAGATCCTGGCGACTTTGGCTCGGGATGTGACCCGGCAAGATATGGGAGTTTCCGAAAATTAGGGGTACCTTATTTTGGGGTCCCTATATTAAGGATCCTACTATTTAGGGTACCATATTAGGGTCCCCTATTTCCGGAAACTCCCATATAGGTAGTTGTCAAAATCATGGTCCCTGTTTTGGGTACCCTAAATAGTAGGTGCCGTATTATATTATAGTCGGGACCAAAAAAAAAAGGGACCCTAATTCTGAGAACCACCCATATAGGGTTTTGGGGTTCGGGTTCTAAGGTCTTTGCTTCCTGCGTTTAGGATTTAGAGCGCAGGCTACGGGAGTTTACGGCTGTCCGGTTGTTTGCAGGCTGTGTGTGTGGTGCCGTGATAGTACAGTAATGACAAGTATATGACGATAGTAGTACCATGATATGCCAGAGACCTTACTTCTTGCATCACGCATTCATTTTCGTTTGAGTTGGGGTGCGCTCTTCAGGCATCGCGATATTTCCGCCGTGTCAGCGCTGTGTTGTTGATGGAACATTCACGAGGATCTGGCATGGGCCCCAAAGCTTTCACGGGACTTCCCAAGTGCGATTATCTCAAAAGTGAAACAGATCAAAGAGTTGCGAGCCAGACGAAGATAAGTCTGCGCGAACGTTACGTTGTCTTCGTCGATGATGGTAGTCCGAAGCTGAACGCTTGTTTAGCATGCCATGAGGCAACGGTGCGGCAGAGGGATGACCCGCGACCTCCTTCCCCCTCAATGGCAGTTGCAAAATATGTGTGAGGCGGTCTCGTGCAGGCAGCATCAAACAGAGATTCTTAACTCGTCGCAGACGATGGCCGGTGACAGGGTCCGAGATGCAAGTTTGGAGCGCGATTTCATCCGCGTCTCCTGTGAAACGAGCATGCCTGATGCAGGCCGCCGCTGTCTGGAGACCAAACTGCTCAGTAGTCGCCGTGGCTAGGGCTTGAGTCAGTGGACGATTGCCTATCTCACTCCAAAAAGGACTGTCCACGAAATTGAACCCCTGAATTGTTCTTAAGCTCTATACTCCTCAACGGACTGTGCTCGAACCAACTTGAACCAAACCCCTTTAAAACCTTAAGCCCTAGGCATGAAATTGAATGCATGTCTTGCTTGATTGCATGTGGTGGTCGTGTGTCAGGAAGTGGAGGGATCCTGCAGTGAAGTTTCATTGTCCTTACCTGCCCTCCCTCTATAAGGGTTCCTGCAAAGGGCTCTATAAGATCCTAATATAGTACCCCAAATAGTAGTATCCTTATAATTAGAAGGACCGACCAACGAGGGACTGTGGGTTTACTCTGGGTTGTAGTGTGTTGTCGATGATGGAGGGTTGCTGTCGTTCGGGGCTGCTTTTTACGCTGGTGCAGTTGTTTCTGGCTTACGCTTAGCGCGGTATGACAGCGGGATGGATAGGTGTATGCCCTGTCTGTCGGAGCCTCTAGTTGTCTACAGCTCGCCAGGTATTCCCGAGTGTGAGCTTTAAGAAAACCTTGGACCTTCAGCATTTCCCCAGCACAAGGCCTCAGTGAAGCTGTGGAACGGACGGACCGGGCAGTGCATGACGACCGTGCTGCTCGCTTGCAAGTTCCTGCTCGGATTCAGATTTCATTTAGTTTCCCTTCAGGAGCATGTGTGCCTGTTTGTCTGTCTTTTGGTCTGTTTGTTTGTATCTTTGTATGTATGTGTATATGCATACATACATATATGCGTAATAAAACCCCTTCCCCCCAATATAAAATACTCCCCCCCGAGGGATTTTTGGTTGGTTTTCCGGAATTCGGTGAAATTGCAGTCAAACCAGGAATTCCCAGGGTAGGCAGCGCGGTGCGGTGCGTTAAAGGGCCGGTGCCCACTAGCCTGGGAATTCCAAATGGAAACTACTCCCTCGGACGCCGTGTTCCTATTCTTCGACGGCCGCGTTCCAATTCTCCATGCCGGCCCTTTCTGGTAGTTCCAAATCCGTACCAATCGCACTATGGCCTTTTTATCAGGGGGTTTATTAAAAGCGGGTAGGGATTATAAATACAGATCATTATGTACGTATGCGTGTTTGTTTGCATGTGTGCATATATACATATGTATATATGTATGTATGTATACATGCATACATACACATAATACATACCTTTACACATATATACATATATACCTACACATATGTACATATATACACATACACATATATACACATTTACACATATATACATATATACATATATACACATTTACATATACGCATATATACGCATATATTTATACACATATATACATAAAGCCCAAGTAATGCGAGGAAGGACCATGAAGAACCCTGAACCCTACATGCCTGGCGTCCAGGTTAAGGCCTTCGGGTTCCTCACGGTTCCTAGTTGGAAGTATGGGCGAAGTCACACTTTTCTGTGGAGTCCCCTTGCATACTACGAGGCAGGTTCCGTTGGAGTGGCCAGGGTGCATGGCGTAAGCGTGGCTTCATTGGCGGTTGGAGGATTTCGTTCGAGACGTGTCATCAAGTCTCATCGAAAGAGATGGAGAGTGTGTTAGTCTTGGCTGGAAGCATCGAAAAGGGTACCGACAAGTTGTTCGTCACCACTTTGGCAATGTGTTCTGATACGATACTGCTGTCAACTTATCCGTGCGCGTACCTCAAATTTTACATACCTGTCACTGTTCGGACTAGATTGAGTTTCGGTTGGGCACGATTGGAACTTTGAGTGCACGCGGCTTTCACGAGACGCCCTTTGTTTTTGCATGTCCAGCCGTTAAAGGCACGTTCCAGTCCTCGACAGTCGGCCTGTGGTAGCTGTCAGGCACTTCCCAGATGCACACTACTTCATGGAGTACCCGTACTGTCTGTCCGATCTCGGGCTGCAATTGGTAACATGTACGGCCAGCACGAGCTGGCCGTTGCTTGGAGCTTGGTAGCAGTGGTGCAGGTGGTGGTAGTCGTAGTGGTTGTTGTGGTTGCGGCAGTGGTAGGAGTAGTAGCAGGAGGAGTAGGAGCAGCAACAGCGGAGTTGGAGGGAGGCGGTGATAACTTTATCTTAGCCATTGCACTTGCTAAACACATACAGAACCCTCATTAGTCAACCCCCTCCGACACCTCCCTTGACAACAGGGATGATAAAGCGGTCAACATAGTAGATATAGTAGGACGTCTAAGCAAAGTAGCTTAACATTCACAGGTCTACATCTTGCAAAACATCTAGGGCCGGGGAGCCGCTTTGAGGGTTTACTATGCGATTTTATTGCCAGGTTTGTCCTCAAGTGTTGGGTGAGTTGGCCACTGTTAGCACTCTTCGCTTCAATGCGATTCTCACTCGCATGTGGTCAGAAAGCCGAGGAGAGCAAACCAGTTGCCTCAAATTTTGATGCTGATGGACCGGGCCATCCCTATTGATTTCATGGGCTGTCCCGAAGTAGGCTGGCTTGCAAGGATTCAGGTAACCCGAAGCAAAAGGATTTAGTGCTTAAAACCCTATCATAATCTGGCGAAGAAGCATCGTCCACAGACTCCCTTGCAGCCCTAGGTGAGCGGTCACAGAATTCTGGTATCTGCTGATGAAGGCGTGTTTCTGACTGAGTTAGAACAGACGCCAGCGGTCCCTTAAAAACTGGGCATTGGGATTGGTAGTTTACAATGCGGAAACCGGCGGGGGTGAAGAGCCGATTGGATTTCAGTCTGTTAGGTGTAATTGCCTCGCCGTTCGTGCGATTTTTTTTCCAGTCGCTACTGTCATGCTATCAAGACAGTATACCGTTCTGCTGCAACAGCCAAGAACATAGCTGTGAGCACGCAGAGAGGCTGCTGATGTCTGTACACTCGCGCATTCACCCCAGGCAAGCTCAGCTTAGAGCGGCCCGCGAGTTTTCAATTTCTGTTTCACCTCATCCTCCCAGCGCTTGGAGCGCAGTGGTGCCCAACATGGGCTGAACGAAGGTGTATCTAATGCTATAATACTGCTGCGAGCCTGAAATACCCTCAGACTGTAAGCACTCTGAGACCATGCTATCATAACAACTAGAGGCCGCGATCAAGTCGGAAGCTCATCTGCCAAATTCTCAGATGTTGACATGTGCAACGCAGGACTAGGATGCGCACTGCGTGAAGCGAAAAAGAGTGCTCGTGCCCGTCAAACTGGGATGAACCGCCCTATAACCACGATCAGCCCGAGCCATCCCAATGTGTCATAACAGCCACTCAGACTGTCAGGAGCGTGCCGCCAAAGCTGTGATATTTGGTCGCTTGGTATAAGTAGTATAGTTGCTGCTACCAACCATTCCGAATCATCTTCGGAAACCCAAGCGATTCTACATAGATGAGCTTTCAAGGAGACCCGGCGTCACTTGCCGCGTTGGGTGGAGGCCGTTTTTTTGCTAGCGGGGGCATGCATGAAGGGCTGGTGGTGGCAGGAGCATGCTTAAACATGCTTTCAATTTCAAGGGTTCGAAACGCAGCTCTTGCTTTAAACGGGGTTTCGGGAACCGAATCGGATGCAGCCCTTGCTAGCAGCCGGTGTTATCTCCATGAGCAGAGATCCTGCCACGTACACAGCCGGAAGGAAGCGATGCACAGAAAGGCTAGGGCGGCTAGGGTACACCATCGCCGCAAGAGGCAAGGCCGATGCGTTTTCGAAGAAAGCGGGCCGAGGAAGCCACAGGGCACTGAGCAAAGCGCCAGCGACATACCTTTCAGTGTCCTCTACAAACACGAGGCACATCGGCCGCAGCCGTTATGCCTTGCCGAAAACCATCTGATGTGTATGCGGTGAATATCAGCCTGCAGTGAACAACCAACAAGACGTGCACAATCCCTTCCTGCACATGTTTTGCGGCGCGCAGCGCCCTGCCGCTAAACTCCTCAACCAGCGAGCCAGCGATTAAGCTTTCGATTGCAGCTTGCTTCGTCCTAAGCTGATCCTTGCAGCTGATGAGCCGCCGCTGCTTCAGTTTCTTGCGGTCGACTGGACATCCATGCACTCAAGCACAGTTCGTTTAGTTAGCTGAAGGCTGCGGATTGCTCGGAACGTAGACGTTCTTTTCAGTCAGTCGCCGACATTCTCCAAGTATTCGGCCATCACTTCCTTCGCCGTCTGAACGCTCGGTGGTTGACGACAAGGATGTTGCAGTTCCTGTCGCCGGCACTTGGGAGATGTCCTCCGTGTCGTGGCTCCATCTTTAGGAGCTATAGGGCCGAGCACAATGGTCGTGTTCGACATGACCAGTGTATCCTTTGTTGTCATGTGTGTACTTGTTGATGCCAGCTTGCGACTCGTGTGGGGATGCCTTTGCTGAGCGTAGACGGTGCTGTGCGACATCCCATGCAGGGTCCTCATGGTCGTCGCCCCCACCGTGCTTGAGCCTGTCCTCACCTCCGAGCCGATGGACTGTGACTAGAGACCCAGTACCTAACCAGCGGCTTTGCCTGCTTTGTGTTGTTGACAAATATCCGTAAGGGCCACTGCATCAGCCCTGCTTCAAGCCGCTCTGAGACGATACAGGGGTAAGAAGCTTTTCCGCCCGTCTCCACCCTGTGTAGGTGTGTATGTATCTGTGTATACACACGCACTCATTTCAGCTCAAGGGCCGCCTGCATTTGACGTATTGTCCACGAATTACAACAAACAAAGACATAAACAAACAATTTAGTTAGAGATATATACACATACATACATATTTGCATATAAAGCGACTATGCGAGAGCATTAGTATTAGTAGTCAGCGTATGTGCGCTCAAGACCTTCCAAGAGCACAGATGCAGGTCCAGGAGCGGGGGAAGATCGTGGCAAGCTGAGAAGGGTAGGGATGGGAAGCTTGAAGTTAGAGGCTTCTTATGGCTTCTTGTAGCATTGTAGCATAAAGTCGGAAAGCTGTGGCGTCTAGGCTCTTAGTGGCTGACTTGGTGACCTCTAGCAATCTAAAAGCTTAACATGACAAGTGGTTCAGCTTTGGAGGGCCGGGTGTGTCAGCATCGGACGGAGAGAAGACTTGAACAGGGGAGCAGAGCGCTCCTTCAGCAGAAACGGCTCTTTTTGTTGAATCCCAGCTCGTCTGATTTATTCTTAGATGCTATTGGGGTGTATAGTAGGCCGGTGAATGCCTGTGCCGAGGAGATGAAGGGCAAGGGCCAGGCCAGCAATGGTGGGATGGTTGGAAAGACACAGGATCCGGGGATCAGAACGTCGGTGTCGGTGTGGTAGTGGGCCTTGAGGTTTGGAAGATTTCTCTTCCCTAGCCAGGTGACCACCTACCTGTTTCGTGGAGCCTCGCGGCAAGCCGAGCTTTCGCGAGAGCTTGAGCGATCCCATGTCCACTTCGGGGGGCTCGCACCTGTCGAGAGGCCTGGGACATTCGGTCGTTCTCCATGTAATTATTGATGTGCTCGTTGGCAGTTGAAGCTGCTATAGAAAAGAGATGTCATGTAATTGCTAGTTCGGAAAACAAGCACTAGTGCTATTGCTCTGAAGTACGTTACACTCAGGTTGGTAACTGGCATGTTGATAACTTTTCTAATTTGATTTTGCTTCATGTCACAAACCCGCACTGTATGCTCGTCATAGTAAGCATAAGCTTGCGACATGGATCGGATTGATTTGCGTGATACGAACTCCCATGTATGTTCCCTAAGCCTGCTATTTGCACTTGGTGGTGGTGGTGCTTGAGCCCTATCGTATCTTCTGCTTCTTCTTGCGGCTGCTGCTGCTGCTGCTGCTGCTGCTGCTGCTGCTGCTGCTGCTGTTGCTGGTCTTGGTGGTGGTGGTGGTGGTGGTGGTGGTGGTGGTGGTGGTGGTGGTGGTGGTGGTGGTGGTGGTGGTGGTGGTGGTGGCGGTGGCGGCTGACGTTAATGTTGTGGTTCAGGTTGTGGCTCAGGTTGTTGTTGCAGTTGTTTCTGCTGTTGCTGTTGCTATTGTTAGGGGTCGGGGACGTCGGCGTCGGCGTCGACGTGGTTGTGGTTGTTTGTGCGATTTTTGGCGTTGCTGGTGATATCGGTCGTGTGGGTGTTGTTGTTGATGATGTTGATGCTGATGCCGGTGCCGCTGTCGGTGCTAGTGCTGGTGCGGGATGGTGCGGGTGCTGTTGGTGGTGGTGGTAGTGGTGGTGGTGGTGGTGGTGGCGGTTCTTGTTCATAGTCCTGTTATTGTTCTCCAAATTATTATTCTTTTTTGTATGCTTCTTCTTGTTCTTGTTTTGAGTGGTGGTTGCCTTGGCGTTGTTGGTGATCCCATGGTCATGCTTCACATGCTCTTATTGGGCAATCACTGGACAATCCTTTATGCGACAAAGGTAGCAACTAGGAGGGCCTCGCCGTGCAGCTTTTCACATTCCTTGTGAATAGCCCACTCGAAACGTTGAAGCAGCCGTTTAAAGGAATCAGCTTCAGAAACCCTTATATAATTACGCTCGAATAAACCGCAGCCATTTGGGCTCAAACGCAGCTTTTGCTCAAGCTTCTTGTTTTTTCCCCTCTTCCGTTGCGCAATGTCTCGAGTCAAGGCTCAGATGTCTGCGTGGCGACCAGATGGCAGAGCCGACCGACCCATATAAACCTTTGAACTTCAACACCTACCGCAAAGACCTGCAAATTCCCGGCTTTAGCAGCGGCGGGGATCACAAAACCGCGCTGTTGGGTTTAGGGACTTGGTTTAATGCTGAGCGTTCGGGTCAACGGTCGTTCAGGAGTCAGGGGCTTCTCGGTTTCAGGTCGGGCGTGAATCTATTGCCCACGTGCCGTTGCAGATGGGTCCTGCTCCACGCGAAACGACGGATGATCAGCGAGGATGACTGCTAGGCCAAGCCGCTGGGAATACCCATCGCCATGTCCGTAATGGCAAGAGCGATGAGTAGGCCATTGGGTCTGAACGAAGTTTGGTGGCAGCAAGGCCGTGCCCCATGTTTTTCAGCTCCCTCTCGCCTGCTGTCCTTCTGCTGGCAGACACTACGTGTCGCCGCGTCAACAAGATGATGTCCTGCGATGTGCCAGTGGCACTTGGATGCGCCGGAGCATCGTCCACTCACGGTCCCCATCATCTGCAGCAGATCGCCGAGAGTTTCGCCACCTCGCGCGCTCGCGTTGTGGAACAGTTTGGCCTGGAGAGAGTGCAGGCACTCTTAAAGATTTCTTGGTCTGGTTGTCGAGATGGCGAATGAGTTCAAGACAGTCGCCTTCACCAGCCGCACAGCAGTTTCTGTGGTTCAGGGCAGGGTCGTAACCCTATGAGAGCCGCCTCATCATAGTTGTTGGAAACTAGATCGGGCTTGCACCGGCAAACATCAGGCTAGCCAACATGGATGCGGAACATGCGGCCAAGTGCAAAAGTCCTGGATCAAGAGGCGAGGGCCAAGGCAATTGCTGCTATCCGCGAGGTGTTCCCAGGACTGTGCGCAATATTTTTTTGGTGTCGACCGGCAGTCCGACTGCCGACCGGCCGTTTTAGTGCGCAGCTGAGCCAGTGAGGGCGCCCAGCCGTTGATGCAGCAACAACGTTTGAGAGGGGTTGGAGCTTGCTTCAACAGTAGTGCCGTCCTGAAATCGTTACACACCCCACATATTTTTAACCAAAGAAAACCGCCGTCGAGATAGGCTTCACGGAGTCGGGAGGATCTCTGGATGCCAGTTGTTCCATGACTTTCACGGCGGCTTCTCGGAGGCGAAGTTGGCTCGTATGTTTACCCAAGACCCTTGAAAATCCAACTAACAGGCTTATCCTTTCCGGCGGGACCGCAGGACTTTCGCCGGGACTGGTGCTAGTTGTGGCTTTGTAGGTTCTTATAACTTGTTGGGGGCTGTTGCGAAGGGCCGGTCCCTGACATTTTTCACCCGTCTGCGGCTGGGTTGTCAAAGCGAGCCCAAAAACCCGAACCTTGAACTTTAAACCGCGACCCAAAGCCATTACTTGATAGAGTGGGTGCCAGTTACCCTAAGTTCTAAAGAACCTTATAAACCTTTTAAACCCGAGCTGCAAACCTTCCTTTCAGAAGTCGGTTTCACTTCAAAAACAGAAGATGCGCAGGTCGCCATCCTCGGCGAAGCCGAGGCTTGCGGCTGAGGGACATATGTAAGGGTCAGAACAAGATAAGGGTTACAAGGTATTTTGTTGTGTGCACAAAGGGTTGAAGCATATTTCATTAGGAACAGTTTACACATGGTCGCCCCCATATGGTACATGTAATTCACCAAACAGTGTGCTGCACGGAATGGGGTTTTAACATTCTGTGCAGAAGGAAGGTTCCGCCAATTACGGATGTGGTGAGGCTTGCCAATTGCCGATGTTGTTACGGTGGTGCTTTTGAACCCGGGCCAGCAACCCCCGGACGGATTGTTTCCTTCAACTAATTACCGCCGTGTTGTGGTTTTCTTCTCGTGGGCAAAGCTGATTTCGTCGTGGTCGTCAGTTGTGGCGCCCTATCAGTGTTTGCAGATGTACGCAATAAGTAATGTCTTGTTCAAAAATGTTCAAGATTGTACCGCCAAACCTTATTGTTTCGTAGTTGTAGAAGCCATTCACGGTCCAAGCAGTATGGTTGCTGTTGAGAGTGTTTTGCAAGACCGAGCTGCGTTCCTAAGCTCCAAACAACGCAGTTCGGAATCCAGTTCTCGAATCTCCAACCACCGGCCAAGCCCGTGTCTTTTTCAGGGGTTGACGATGACGATGGGGCTCATGAATTTCCGATGCTACTTTGAAACGAAGCCCTGGCCCTAGACTTACGTGCCCAGCACCTTGAAACCTGACTTGGTAGCCAGGTCGATCCTCAAGCAATCGGCTGCGAGGTGGATTGGGTTCTTTTGAAGGAACGAGGAAGTCAATTACACTATGCCACCAGAATCTCTGGGAATTTAGGTTATGCTCTAAAACAAAAACTCACCGTAAATGGTCTGCTGGTTGCTTCGAGCTGTAGCAGTGGAGGTTTCCGGGTTTCAATTGGTCTGGTCTAGTCTGAAGGCGCGGGGCTGCCTCATTTTGCAGATTTGTTTGTGCGTGTGTGTGTGTGTGTGTGTGTGTGTGTGTCTGCGGACATGTATATGTTCAACTTCACTTGTTCGTCCGATTCTCTGAACCCTTTGTAGGTCCGTAGGTATTTCAGGGATTGAAAAATGAGTAAGAAGTTCTGCTTGCCGTTACCACGCGCTGCCCCCCTCGAGTTTTTGGAAGTTCTGAACTCTTACACACACCTCCAAGTCCAGGAAACTTGAGGTTGCCCCTCTTTGGAGATTAAGACCTGAACGTGTCGCATTTTCGTGTTTACCTGGCGATGCTGGCGCTCCTATGTAGCTTTCCACATGGACTCCTTGCTCGTTTCCGCATCTTGGCTTGTGGCATGTTGCCAGTGTCCCTGAGGCGGTGCTACAGTACCCGAAATCGATTCCAAACCAGCCAGCAGACATGGCTTCCGGAATGCGGCCCTCACTGGTTTGCAGGAGCCCCAGCCGTGCTGCGCGAATGGCAGAAACTGTGGAGGCGAAGTCTCCGACCTGTTTTTTCGAGTGCGGTGTTATCTTCGAGGCTTAGGACGAGTGGTTGGCCTTCAGACTGTGATTTGTCCATGAACTTCACTGGTATTGCTCGAAGCCTGCGATCCCCATGTTGTCTGTTTCTGTTGCCAGTTACCATTCAGTTGCGCTCCACTTCGTCATGTTGGTCATGCAGTTACTTAGATTGGAGTTTCGGGTTGTGAGTTCCAGGGTTTCTGGCACTTTCACTTCTGTTTGCCATCGTTCGCAGTTGCGAATGCCTTGTTTCATCGTCCGTTTGCCCCACCTCTAACCTCTAGGGGCAGTGCCGAGTTGACGCACCTGGCTTCTTCCGTTACTGCAGTGTCTTGGCAGGAATCACCGAGCGCGCGAGTTCGCCGCTGGATGCTCGGATTTTGTGTACCAGACGGTATCCGACATTCGCGGCCGAAATCCTTGTGCCTACTTTGAGTGCTGATGCCCATGCAAGGGAATCTGCATGTCGATGCCTAAGAGCCTAGATTGAGTAGGTGCAGAGGTTCTATATCGGGCTCTACTTGCGTCTTTCGATCTTCACTTCTATCTCTCGGATATCTATCTATGCTGACCTAACCTAATGCCCATGCAGGCCACATCTGGAAGCAAATCCCGAGTGCTTTGAATCTTCACGGCATCGGCATGCCCCAGGCAACACTGTCGGGACCAATCTCATCATGAGAATGTCTCTACCCGCTGGACCCTCAGCTTGCAGTTCTGGCTTGCGGTGTGGTTTTAAAGATTAAGTTATTTTTGACTCCAAGGTTTCGGGCTTCCGGTGTGCGGGTTCAGAAGTGTCTTAAGGTAAGGATTCGGGCTTTAAAGGTTCAGGGCAGGTGTATGCGTGCATTTGGCGCGTGAGGCTGTTCGGCTCTGTCTCTGTGTGCGTGC